GCTGCGAGTTCGATAGATCAACGCGGGTATTATTGAAAAATCACTATGCAACTTTCATTTGAGTACCTAGTCCAAAAGGACCAAATGGTAACTGGCACAGCAAATATAACCTTCCAACCACCTAACATCCAAAAATGGAAATAAACCTAAATTACTCAACGAATCAAAACTCGAGCTTCTCCTAGAGTTACGGATGATTTCAAGTGTGGTTATTTTGCTTTCACACCTGGTTGTTGTGTTTGTTTTTTTGTGTCCATCAACAAAAAGTAAAATAAATTTTGACTTGGACTCAACTTAACGGTAAGTTTTGTATTTACCGACTAACTCATCCCTCACTCCAAGCAAAAAACTAAGCCTAAAAAAGCCACTGGGCCATCCTCCCAGCCCTCAGCCGGCCTACAGCTTAGCTAACAAACGGGTGCAGAGCTTGAAAAAGGACACCTCTGAATGATAAACCCAACGTCTCCAAACCGATAAACAATGTTCGCCCATAAGCACCGCATGAGGCACCTCTTAAACGCAAGGGTCTCCGAGGGTCTGACGGCGTAGGATCAACAGTCTCTCCTCACCCAATATTCCCATCCCTCCCACTCCCCACCAGCCATAACCACACTGGAGCTGTCTTCCGCCCCTCAAATTTAGTTTGTCCAAAAAAATCTCGGACGTGATAATGTCTCAGACCATCAATCTTGAGCTCCTGATTCATGCATTTAAATTTTTGAAAAGATGTTATATACATTATCACCCGCTGTAATTAACTAAATATTCGGTAAGAAAAAAAAAAAGAAACTGATTTTTATGCAGAAGAGGGAAGGAACGGGAAAACGAGCATGATATAGAAAGGAGAAGAAAGCGGTGAGGTATAAAACCATTGTGTGTCTTATTTTAAAGAAGACAAAGAAGCACTTGGATAACTTTTTATCACACCACTTCCATTCAAATCTTGCTCGTGTAAGCGTCTACACCCACTTTGACCGGCCTCTCCCCTGCACGTTCAATAAGGTAAAAAGTGGAAGTTGCTTAATTACCCTTCCACCTCCCACGTGTCAACAAAATCCCATCCATGGTCTATGCTTCAAAGCTTGGGCCCAGGGACCCAAGGAAAAAACACTCTGGCTGTGGCAGAACGCCGTTCGACCACTGACATCGTAGATAATTCAGGAGCGCCTGGCCAATTCCAAGCTGTGATTATTCACCTTACACACCGTCCTAAATACAAAAAACATCGTAAGTCCATGTACAAGACTGTTAAAGATAGGAAGTTCCACTTCCACATTTCAATAGTGGCGCTTGGACACGGGAGACTAAGTCAGCGCTAGCTGGGGATAGAACAAAATCGTTTCTCTGGACTGAAAAGATCGACATGGACATAGTTTTGGCATGGCTGTGAAAAAATAAAAGCCAAAACTTTTGCATTGAAGAAGAACCTCAAGAAATCACTTTTCACTCAGCGTCTGGGGTGGTCACTTCAACTACCGCTAGAATAAACCTTTCGAAATATTCTCGCACATCTTGTTTTCTATCATCTGGAGACAGTTGAACAATGGGCCAGGGTAAAGTACGGTTCATGACCACCCAAGTGGTTTGGATATGTCTCCTATCCTCTGTTTTCTCAGCGCGCCAAACTAAAAAAAAAAAAAAGAAATCTTCACTAGCAATCTGCTCCAAAGTAGTAGCAAGCACCACTTCGATACTCCGTGGCTCCTACCACCAATCTTCAGTAAAAAATTACTTCCAAAACCCTATGCCGAAGGATGTAACATAAACTCTGGTCATCGTCATCAATCAAAAAAAAACAAAAACCGCACCACTCTTCCCTAAACCACGAAAAAAAGGAGGGGGAAAGGACCTTCTTCCATCCAATACTGTATTCGACAGCACAGTCGCTCCCTCCTCACAAAAACCCTACTCACTACAATAAAAAAAACCACATTTCTTCAAAACTGCCACCGAAAGACAGCTGAAACACCAGAGATCCGCAAATTATTCCACAAACTATCAAGCAAATGCCCCAACAGGGGGCCACTCCGTACATTATACAGTTACAGAAAAAGACACAGAAGCCAGCTATTGGAAATCGCATGAGGTTGCTACCAAGCCCCGCAGCGCAGACTAAAAGCCACTTCAAATCCACAACCCACCCCAATCGTTGGACCGAGTGGACAAAAGATAGAAAAGAGTGGAACCACGGTCCGAGCCGAAGCAAAAAACATCAAGAGCAGTTGCAGAGAGGGGGAACGAATCTCAAAAAAGATACTCAATGTTGTAACGGACGGCAAAAACAGTTAGTGCATTATTGTCGGATGCGGGGAGGCACTAAGCGTATTGGTGTCACATAAAACCGATTCCATCCGTGGCACCACCTCCATAGCACAATCAACCTGTCAAAGAAAGGCCTACGTCAAGCAAAAAAAAGGAAAAAGGGAAAAAAAAAAAAAAAAAAGAAAGAAAAAAGGGGAAAACAAAAAAAGGAAAAAAAAGGAAGGAAAAAAAGGGAAAAAAAAAAAAGAAGAAAAAGGAACAAAAGGAAAAAAAAGGTAAAGGGGGGAGGAGAAAAAAAAAATCAAATTCTCCAAACATCAAAGCAGGAAGGTAATATCCGCCAATCCAAATACCAATGTGAGAAATGTATTTAAGATGTTTTATGAGTGGGGGGAAATAACTCACGAAAATCATACACGAGACAGTCAAACTGGATCCAGGGCCAAACTGAACATATTATGATTCCATCTCGTCAAAAAGTTCTTAATCTGAGAGAAGTGGCGGGAAAACCAAGGATTTATTTCCGGAGCCAAGACTCCTTTCACGCTTTGATATGCCGTGCAACTACCGACACGATCTACCGCTGTGCCATGTCGTACTCGCCCGGGGTAGTAGCGAAGACGCAGAGAAGCGGGTAATTGTACAGAGTGGCATGAAGATCAGCAATCCCAAGCGTCGGTGCCTGCACCGCTACACGCGATACTACAATTTGACGAGAATCAGGGAATCTCAGAAACAAAGCGCTCTCTCAACACTCCTACATCCTGTATAGGGTCATCGAATGCAACGCACACTGTACTAATTGAATCGTGGTGTGGTACGCGCATTCCGATTTGGCCTTCACCGACGGTGCATTAATGGATTCATCGCCAGATCGCGTGTAACCCCAGAGCTAGACAAAACTGAGAGCAAGGCTGTGCATGATTTGACTATAGCAATAAGGTCGGGGAGAAAGCTAGCGGTCACGGCACTGTATATCAACTTCTGGCCATGTAAAAGGAAAGGAGGATCAATACCACGTGTCCACGTGGAGCAGCAAGAACTGCTCTCATGGGACGTTATGATAATATGTATAATAGGTGGTCAATAGAAAAGACTGGGTGCGATTCCGTAAAAATACAGTGTAGTTTCACTGTGAATCAAAATAGAATTGTGTCGGTCACGTGGTTTGAATTCTCAACATTTTCCTACTCCAATCCCCCTCTCGCCTGTACGTCACAGTAGTATGGTGAAAACTGATGGGCCTGTATGGCCGTACCAAGGAAAAACGAGGGAATACAGGACGTGACTATCACAAAGGCAGACAGTAATAATTGTGTTCTCGGGGAGGAAGCGCAGTGGTAGAAGCAGTGAGAAATTTAAAGCTTGCCGGGACCTACTCCACAAAAAAAACTCCAAACCAGTCCAGGTGTCCGCCTTGCCTTTACGCAGTTCACTCGGGGAATCTGCATCCAAAAGGATCCTCTTTCACTTTGCCGTTGGTATTAACTGATACAGAGTGTTCTGATCAAATGGAAAAAAAAGAAAAAAAAAAAAAGCGCAACCGTATATACGGAGTCAGAAAATGTTGGAGTGGCATTACAATGGAGTCAACGCTAATGCTGATTCGGAAAACTCCAACTGCACAAGAACATCGTCACGTTCATGGGATCCATAACTGGATGATACATTAACTGGAGAACGACACGTGGTTCGCAGAGATGCAACCCACAATTAAATACAGCGGGGGAGACCATGCTGACGGTGAAGATAACTAAGGGGAAAGATGCTGACGCTTGGGTGGGAAACTTCGAGCTATCAAAATTGTTGCATTCTGTAAACGTTTTAACTTTTTGAAAATTTGGGGGGGGGGCAAGTAAACTCAAAGTTTCCAATCCTAAAAAAAAATCCAGTACCTTTACAGTGTACTTGCATGTGTGTTTGACGTTGAGTCGTGAAACGTTGTTTGGCTATGCAAAAGAGATAAGAAGCCTGGGGTGACCAACATGATGAGTATATACACCAGGGATGGAGGAGCATGGGAAGTGCGTAAGGTTTAAAGGACCAGAGCCTGTTAATTTGACTCCGGCAATAATCCTATCTGGGAGTTGGCGCCCACCATATCGCAACCGCTCCACGTTCTGTCTAAACATACATAACAGTTTGTTTTCTTCTGGTCTGGTCGTCTTCCCTCTTGCCATTCCGCCACCGGTAGGAAAAAAGGAAAAGAAAAAGAAAAAAAAAAAAAAAATCCTCCTCACCGTATCCTAGAAAGTAGTACTTTCCTTGTCTTTCTCCCTCAGCCGTTCCTAATCATTAAAAATTCCTTTCATTTGTTGTCACTGGGGCTATTTTATTTAGTCTACAACTTCTCACCATTCTCTCCCTCAAAGAAAAAAAGTATACTACTCCCCCGCATCACACCCTTTCCTCTCCTCCTCGCGTCGCGGTTCTCCTCTCGAGCTTCCTCCATCTCTCTGCATACAGTTAGAGGATATTCTCATTTCTATAAGGGTTGAGGAGTCTCGGGAAACTCACAAATTTTGTGTGAATGGCCCTTTACTTTTGAGGACGTCTCAAGACCTGGAATTTGCCGTTGACAGGTTTGGGTTGCTCACACTTTTGCTGCCCGCGGAAGTTCGTAATTACTGGGACTGAATTAAGTCCCGTACAGTCCAACTCCACCAGTCCAACTCTGTTTACATACAGTGTATAACTTTTTGAGGCATGGGGAAGTTTACAATAAAACCATAGACTTAATGATAGTGGTATGATGTGCCTTAGAAAAATGTATGGGCTTTCTCTTCTCCTGTTGTACTTACATAGGTCATCAAAGAAAAGCTGAGTTTCTACAGTGACGTGTGGAGCTCAGTGTTCCTTCATTCACCTGGTCACAGGGAGTCTCCAGGCCATCGTGCTGGGCTCACTTCTAGAGACAGCATGAGGGACATGGTTATGTGGTCTCGCGGCCATATGTATGTTGAGAAAATACTATGGCCTGCGAGTTAGTTAGAACACAGTACATACTGCAGTAGGATCCCCGTTGGGGGCATTCACACAGTGTCATGTTATTTGAATCGACTGAATCGACCTTGATGTGAAAAGGGTGTACAAATTCCGGACGGATCCATTGAGTTGGAGGCTCTGCAAGCATAAGGCTTAGCTCTCTCTTTCTCTATTGCACAGTTGCGAAGTCCAGAGATGAAATACATGGAGAAACTGGTGCCTCTCTCTGAGATGGTGTTGGATCGTGAGCTGGTCAGTATCTTCAGAGACACTCTGCGTGATGGTTCTCGACCCAGTGCGCTTACCCTCCTAAAATATCCTGCTCTCAAAAATGTGAGCCAAGATTCAGAGATCTCAAGCGCATTAGTATATAGTTATTGTTGAACACTGTCACTTTATTGTGGTGAGTAGATGCAGTCAGTAGCCAACGTACATCGAACTGCATACTATGTCTACTTCCATTACTATATATGTTTTGTGTAGTACATAATACAAATCTCTGTGTTCTCCACAGCTGACATGTATGAGCACAACTTTCCGGCACTACGACAGAGAGAGGGAGTGAGGCTCTCTTCCCTTGGCTCAGAACTGCACATCGCAGGACCCAGTGCCACACATTAGCAAGCCCCCAACAACGGACGAGAGGAGAAGTGGTACATAAGGTGAGAGGCAGAGGTTCAACACAAGTTTAGTTAATATTTCATGCATATTAGGTGGACAGAAGCGTCCAAGCAAGTTTGACCCAGTTCGCAGAAGACGAACACAGTCTTCGAGATACATTCTCCAAAGTTCAGGTAACCACTTATGACCACGTTTACCATTGTACGAGTTAGTGTAAACTTCATGTCCCAACGATAATCTTATTTCATAGAAGGTGTTGAGCCTCTAAAACCGAAAATGGAAGGACCAACACGAGAACCTACTACAATCCACCACATGCCTCGTGAAATGATCGTGGCAAGGGAGTCAGCAAGTAGGTCAGACACATCTCAACAGGCAGCTTCTATGGCTTCGGGTCGTCTGGCTCGCCATATGGCTCGCCATTGGTACCGCAGCCATTCGGCAGTCCAGAAAAGCATCCAGCCAGAGATGAGAGCTATTTCACCACCTCAGCTCTCGTCCTACTACCTGAGCCTTATAGGTACACAATCACGCAAACGTTCATCCATAGGGGAGGAAGTGATCACAGATTTGGAGGGAGAAATGTTTTCAGATTCAGAGGAGGGGGTGATCACAGATTTCGCACATGGACATTTTCATCTCCAACCCTACCACGTCCGCGGACTGTCATTTAGAAAGGCGTTGGTAAAAGAACGTCAACGTCTAATCGACCTCCCTTTCCAGCGTGAAGTTCGACCGATTGCATCACCCTACCGCCATCCCTCTCAGCATGATATTGAATCTTCACTTGGCCTAGTCTTAGATGTGGCCCATGGTCCTTGGCGTCGTCCTCGCCATCGAAGTGTCCCTCTCCCTAGGAGTCAAGCATCATCTCCTGGAGAGAGTAGCATGACTGGTTCGATTAGTAAGGGATTGCAACGTGCAATATCATTTGCAGATCTAGAGAGTAGCGAAACTGCAACCTGGTCTCCAAAAATGGGCCGTTCAGCAGCTGCCTTTGATACAGTGGAGAGTCCACCTACGAAGGACCGCAGAAACTCTGTGTAGGGCTTCACACATTGGGTGGTGGACGGAGCCACTTTTATAATCATCATACCACATGATGTGGATATACTGTTATGTATACATACATGCACACGTCTTCAAATACAGCACTTATCATTTTAGTATGTAATTCATATGCATGAAATATGATGGCAGTATAATATACATACACATAGATTCTTAAAAAGGTTTGTGGAGAGGTGAAAAATCACATGTCAGTTGAAGAGAAAGAGTCTTTGGTGCTGCTGCGTTCCCTGGTTTCCAGTGGTTGCAGGGCGTGGCCTTCCTGTGGCAGGGCGGGGTCTCCGGGCGTGGCATTGCTGCCCGAACGGGGCGTGCGTCTCTTGAAAGGTCGTGTGAGAGTGAACCCTCCATCGCCAATAATCTCACCTACGGACAGAGAGAGAGAGAGAGAAAATGTTCACCTCAGAGTACTGCACAATGGTTTGTGCTGCCTGTGATTTGCAGAATTGCATGGGTGAGAGTGCTTGGTTTAATGGATACCATCTGAACGGGAAAGTTGTGAGGATTCCGATGGTGTTAGAGTTTTTGTTATGACAATTTTTCAAAGGTGAAGACTAGGTTTGTATTTACCGTAGATTGAGAGAATTAGGAGATTTTTTGAAGGCTGTTACGATTCTGTCTTGTTTGAACAGAGGACAGAGGTTTTTGTTGGAGGAGAGCTGACCTTTGTCGTTGAAAGTGGTGCATCTCATCTTGTCCTCCTTGTAGTTGCGTCCCTGTCTCTGTGTCCGCGGAGACTCTCCTGGTTTGTGGGTCGTGATGGAACACTCAGGCAGCACTCTACAGGAAGGACAGGGGAACCTCCGATAAGGGACCCTCCGAGATAGGGACGACCTCTCTACAAGGGACACTTATTTCAAGCCCATGACTTTAGTGCTCCGAGATAGGGACGACCTCTCTACAAGGGACACTTATTTCAAGCCTATGACTTTAGTGTATTGTTTGACCTCCGAGATATATAGGGACGACCGAAAAAGAAATTCAAAGATCAACACATCGACTGACATACTTACTCATCGTAGCCCTGGGCCTTTCTCATCTGTTTGAGCTCCTCCTCTGTCTTCACAATATCTCCCACACATCGCGTGATCATTGCATCCATCATTGGAGCCTGCGTGTATGGAGCATCAGTAGCATATACATGTATGCTTCTCATAGTAGTTTCATTGGTGAAAAAACTGGTACTTGTAGTCTGTGTCACCTGTCGGTGAGAAGACCTGAACCCTCTTGGTGACCTTCTCCTCCCGGTCCTCCAGCTCCAGCACCGAGTCAAACTCCAGCCACAGAGAGCTGTAGAAGTCCTCTCCGTCCTCCGGTGCCTCCTCAAACTCCCAGGACAGCTGGTCGTATGTCAGGTACAGCATTATACCCTGAGAGAGAGAGAGAGAGGGAGATAGTCATAGTCATGAAAGATGTGTGTGTGCGTGTGTGAATGAGTATTCTGAGAGATGTGGGGGGAAATATGTGTGTGTGCGCAAAGGAAAGTGAAACAAGTGAGTCCCTATAAAAGACAACAATCGGATGTACACGTTGTACAAAAACCCTTACGTATGCTAAAATAAGAAAAAGGGGGGCCAGGGAAGTGTGTATTCCCCATTATGGGGCAGTGGATCCTCTGTTTTTCAGCGGATGGTGTGTGTGAGCTCACGGGAGGAGACTTGGAGTCCAGGATGTGGAGACAGTGAGGGTTGAGGGCGACTGTCACTCTCTTGTCCGAGTAGGTGAGGATGTGGACTGCCTTGAACGGTCTCTCTATCTGCCCGTGAAACATCACCGACCTGGACACAACCGACACATAATACCGCCTGCTTCAGTTCTTAGGGTTTAACAATGTGAGATACAGTGTTGCTATTCCACACCCCCACTATAATAAGGTTTGATATTTGAACGGTCTCTCTATCTGCCCCGCGAAACGTCACCAACCTGAACACATTTTCTTTGAAAAAGTGTAGTCCTGGTGTAGTTGTGTTGTGTGATACGCACTTGGCTTGTTACACCCGTAATTCACGAATGGAGAAGTGAAGGGACGACGAAATAGGGGCTGAAAGGACCACTAACATCATTATTCTCTTACGTCTGAAGAAACTACCACAGTGTGACCAGAAACCAGTGCCAGCTAAGTCTGACTAGGGCTATTAATATTTACCTGGACGTTGGCTCACACCCCACCATTACAATGCCTTTTAAAATGGATTTGGATGCCGAGCGGTGTACAAACTACTTTCTCGTGTTCATAAGCAACCAATGAACGTTGGCAGAAATTGGCAAACCTCTTATAATACCAGACCTATGGATGATATTAGGTTAACGAGTGCATACGATTGTGGTCATAACACAATTGGAGTTCAGTTTTAACATCGAAATCTGTGGCAGTATTTGCAACTGTATATACAACTTACCCATAGAAGGGTTTCGACCAGCAGTACTGAAGATAGAGTATCTTCAGATTGTGAGCCGAAAGCCTTTTGCTTGCAACCTTCTCGAAATGGCCTCTCAATTTCTCCTCGGCCAGCGAGTGCTCCACCGATCTCTGTCGGAACAGTTTCAGGAGGGATTTTTGGCCCCCAGTGGGGGGCTCCAGGAGGTGAGGGGGGTAGAATGTCTGTAGGTAGGGGTGGAGGTTCCCCGAGGTTAGTCCCTCTCCCGGGTGTTCCACGGCAAAAGTGGCGGCTTGGATCCCAGCTAGTTCGTGATAGTCGGTCTCCTCTAGAGGGTAGCGGGTTTTAGTCACGTTGAACACAGCCTGGGGTGTGAGGAGGGAGGGAGAGTGAGGGAATGAGGGAGGGAGGGGAGCAAGGAAAAGGAAGTGTTAGCATAAACAAACATGTGTCTCTTTGTGCAGGTTTCCTAGTACTAAGCCTATCACTTCCCTTATTATCATCCCCCTCCAGTCTTTCCTTATTAACACTCTACCCACCCATACATGTAGAGGAAGTGGACATTCATTAGACATGAGTAGCCCATCAATATAGCCTTACAATCGTGCACTCATCTACCGTTAGCGTGCTTTGGTACAAACGCTTCATCCCACATTTTTTAAAATTAACACTGGCATACCTCGACACTTGCTGTCAAAACCACAACCGTAAAATCGAAGCTCACACACTGACTGACCTCATTGTAGAGGAGGTCAATGGCTTTCTCGTTCTCACTCTTCTTCTTTGGGTCGATCATCTTCCTCTCCTCCTTCAGAGGGAAGAAGGTGTTTCTCTGGAATGTCAGAATTGGCTCGTCTACAGAACAGTAGTGGGAGGAGGAGGAGGAAGATAGAGAGAAATGAGACTTTAATTTCTTTCCTTACACCTCATAATGAGTGTGTACTACATGCAGTGGTTTCTCAGAAGGTGACACTTGACTTCCTTCTTTCACTGGTAAACGGGAACTGTGTACTGCAAGTTACATATTGCAATCACGATTTACCTCAATTGACCCAAACTCACACTAATCTGGATGATGCACTAAAGAGTCAACTCTTCCTCTGTATACCTATCATAGCCCCCATACATCTAATGATGCTAGGTATATACCGTGCCCATCCCTACCGTACTTAGTGATACCCACAAACAACCCCACAGGCACAAGTACACACATACGTAGCTAAACTCTAGAAAGCACAGGTACATAGTACAACGTGTGTACACGAAGCCAGCGAGGCCAGGGCTGCCCATTGAGTAGTAATGCTATTGGGAAACCTTAGTACTCAGTTCACCAGTCACCACACAACCACAAATACGGACACGACACATGTGCTGTTTTGCCACCCCCTCTCCTGTTTTGTTCAACGTTTAATCAAGTATTTCAATTTTTAGACGGGAATCTACCAAGAGAGCTGATTGAACATGTGGAAAGCACAAAGGTCTCAATCTATAACACTCACACACACACGTTTCAAAACCGGCAGTGAGAATGAGAAGAGTTAATACATATGTACAGTAGGTAGAGTAGGAGACCACCTTGGCACAGAGCTACACTCTAATACCTATCATCATCAACACCAGCAAAAACATTACTTCCTCCTCACTTCCCAGACAATGGTAATAAATATGGAGAAGGTACGCATGTCCCTAGCATAAACAACACAAATATCATGCGTTGCACATATGAATGACATATAAGCATGTGGGTATTTGTAACGTCTTATTATTATGGGGGCACCTTGGCATATGTCGTCGTAGGCGGTGTTGGTGTACTGAGAGAGGAGATCCTTCCACTTCTTGAACAACTTGCACGGGAGATGATAGGATTTCAACTGGAGCTCTGCGCGCGTGTGTGTGTGTGTGTGTGTGTGGGTGTGGGTGAATACAGTAGACAATAGAGACGCTATGGCAACCTTACTTGGTCATGAAACACATCATTTTAGGAGTGCGAAAACACAGTTTTTTGCAGGTCGTCCGTGTGTGTCGACACATGCACTATACAATAGAGTGCACTGGGTACAGAGGACCTTTGTGTGAACAAAAGATATTGATTTGTGCATAAAGAGTGGGAGTGAGAGAGTTTGTGAAAAAAATACGATCCTCCACACTAGCAGTGTATACATCCATGACCTACATAAGCATGTCAGCGATACGATACTGCTAGCTTGTAATTGTTTTATACCACTATCGTGCTGCTCACAATGAAATTCCATCGCACGCTCGGTGTGCATATTTCGCGTTAACCCAATAAGGTTACGATGGCATTGACTTCCATAGTAGAATATTCCAGGTAACCGGAGGTGCCTTGTTTGAAGAACGCAACGTCATAGCCCATGGTTGTGTGTCATTTGACCATACAAGCAGGTGTTCAGAGTATTACCATCTCAGGTATACACTGCCGTTCATCCACGGAATAGAGCACCTTTTGCTGTATAGGGACTTTGCCATTAATTAAAGGATACACGCTAATTCCAGCTACACTATACTCTGTGTACTGCATAATCCTCATTTAAAAAAAAAACCGATTCTCTTTCTCGTTACCTTAGTGTGCCGCGATTTTAGACGCACGGGTCGTGAGATAAAAATCTAATTTCCCTGCTGATACACTTACGGAGGTGTTTGGAGGAGAGCCAAATACTGAAGCAGTCGACGGCTTCGGAGGGCAGGCCAAGTGCGGCCATCACTGTCTCGTGGATCTGACTGACTGTGGTGAACCGGCCAGACGGGTAGACTGCCTGCACCGATTCTCCCTCCTTCATCGTGAACACACACAGTGTCACAGCTGATGGGGGAGTGGGGAGGGAGGGAGGGAGGGAGAGAGAGAGGTGAGAGAGGAAAGGGGTGAGGGGGAATAATAAGGCAAGATATAGATTCTGCTGAGGTTTTGTATGCTAGCTACATCCAAGAGGCCATGAAACACAGCTACGGATAATTGCACGTTGCTTTCAACCACAACTGCTAAGAAGCGTCACCTCTTCTTGCGGTCACCGGCCCCAAGTGCTACAGAGACTCACGTTTCACTCTAGTGCCCGTTGTTGCAGCGGAGGACGTCGACGGGAGACAACGAAGCCGCCAGCGTCCCGGGGTGACGGCTCAGCTCCGGCGCTCTGTGGATGTCCAGTTCGGCGGGTGCCGGAGGTAGCGCAGTCGCCATGCTTGCAGCAGCTGGGAATTACGTCTCGGTTTCTCCGCTCTGTCTAGTGTGATTCGGGACCGATAGTTTCCGATCGATTGCACAAGCTTTAGCTCGAGAGTTCCTGACTCACTTGACTGTCCAGTCCCCTTTATTTACCCCGAATAGTTTACGGAATGCTGCACCCATGATATACGGAGGAGACCGGCGCTCTCACCTGACCTTTGACCTTGAGCTTGGGAGCAGTGGCTAACTTTCGTAGCAGAGGCTCTGAAGACACCATGACGCTGCCGAAACACGCAGAAGAGCTGTGCTTCTCCACTGAAGTATTTCTGGAAGAGAGTTTTACCGTCGACGACTTTGTGAACCAGTGCAGGAAGCGGGTGACGATCGAATGCCTCCGCGACGACCTAGACGCCTATTACCGCACCCTCAAGAGCGCCATGGTGGAGCTTATCAACAAAGACTACGCAGATTTCGTCAATCTGTCCGCAAATCTGGTGCGTGTGCGAGGGGGACGGCAAACGATTGTTGTTCTATATAATGCGCACCTTGCACGTGTGCGCGCATGTCTGCGGAAGAAGTGGGTTATTTTGTCGGAGGGGCTGGATATACGTGACTATGCATCCGTGACTTCAAAAGCAGTATGACTGTGTCTATGTCAGCACCATCTAAAGTGCACTGCTTTTGAAACGAAGCACAAAACGTCGTAAACACAAACATGCTTGTGCTGACGTACCCTTACGTAAGTGATGTGTGTTTCTTCAGGTTGGAGTGGACAAGTCCATTGATGGACTTGCCTCGCCGCTGACCCAACTAAGGGAAGAGGTTTTGGTGAGTTTTACTCTGCCTTCCACCCACCCACAACTCCCACTCTCCACGTCTTCCAGAGCCCACATACAATACGTGTACGTGCATGTGCATGTACTCTAGTGCCACTACGCTATCTCTCCTGCTACTGTGTATTCTGGTACTGTACAGTGTTGGTGCATGGTATATGCTGCTGCATAATAATTCAGCTGTGGGCCAGCAACCAGAATCGACTGTAAGTACGACATATGTACTGGGGCTCCTAAATCTGTGATGATAATAGCACTGTCTATCAGGGTATAAAGGAGGTGATGGATGCTGCCATATCTGCCACCGAGACCAAGCTGGCACAGCGAGCTGAAATCAGGGCCAAGAAGGTAATAATTCAATCAGCGTGACTGAGGCTTACGTCTTGTAATTATAATAATAGGCCGTAGAGTGTGGCCGTAATGGACGCTAATTCTCCGGAAGGACACTGTGGCCGGTGTTTGGAGTGTTTTCCATAAAGTCAACGTCGTGTGTGTGTGTGTATGGGTGTCGTGATGTAGGCCACACTGAAGAGGCTAATGGTGTCATGGAGTCTCTGGAATCACTCGAACGCTCTCGACATTGGAGGAGACCACACCCCCTCCTTCCCTCAAGTCCTTCAGAGGAGAGGTCTGAAGTTGCTCAACTGACTGAGCGGTATGCTATAACACGGTCATGCCTACAAACTTTGGTACACAAAAAGAAAGTCATAAGCTACGAAAGTGGTGCTTTAGAGGCATATATTATTTTGTCTATCTGCTATAGCGTGAAGCATAGCTAGTAGTGTCTGGCATGCTCACCAACTGTATCACAATGTTCACATCATTACTACACATCATAGAACCGTGTGTGCAAAGGTGGCATTAATCATATACTATAGACACACCTATTAGGCACATGTACTAGAGTAGAATAGACGTGTTGTGATGTACATGGTTCTGTCGTCCGAGTTAAACATTTTCGTCCAAAATGGATTTCGTGACCTAATACTTGTGCCCAGCATAAAAATAGTTTTTCTTCCAGTAATAATGGTCTTATGAACAATTTCGCGCCCGTACAAAAACACAATCAGAAGGACAGGCATAACAATACAAAGTCCCACATTTAGATCGCTGTAAGACTTAGTATCACTGTGGTAATAACGATCTCTGTGGCTTGGGGCTGATGTGATAAATCCTCTCCCATTTCTCCCGAGAGGAGTTTGCAGCTGTGGTTCTGGAGAGGGTGACGGGAGAGTTCAACCGTCTCCAGTTCAGTGTCTCGCAGACTCAGGACCACCCTCTCATCTCCGAGATCACTCCTGTCAGTTAGTCAATTTTTAGATGAATATTTACTTTTTGAATAAAAGTAGTGACAGGTAGTACATACAGTATCATTAGTGTTGTTAGTATCTTCTCCGACCACCAATCATCTGCATAATATCACAACGTCCACGTATGTGATATTTTACATGCACATAAAAACTTTCGTCAATGGTCCAGCTCACTCGTCAGAAATTGGTTCCAGGGATGCAGAGAGAACTGGGTATATACCAACTTGTAGTACACCTACACCCGTGCATCTTTCTTTGTGTTAAACTGTGTGTAGAAAAGGAACCGCTCGCAGTATGTTTTCCTACCCTGTCTCATCTCTCTCTTTCTCTCCATTCTCTCTGGCAGCGTTATAGATGGAGTCACGTAAGCCCTGCAGTCCAGACTGGAGCGACTGTTCCAGGAGGCTCTGGACGGACGAGGCCGAGAGAGGCTGGCTCACTGTCTGCAGGCCTATGCCTCCATCAGTCGGCAGGAGGACGCAGAGAGTATGTTCCAGGCTGCTGTGGCACACCCCTTCCTTGATAAGGTCTGTCCATAGTGGTGTAGAGCTCATTACATAGTGGATACAGTAATCCATACTTGAGCTTATCACATAATTCAAGTATCTTTACTAGAGCTCATCACATTAGTTAATAATACCAATAGTACCCGTATACAGTATGATGTCCAGTATATGCACTACTATGAACCTTTCGTAGTAAAGTCATCAGTAAGTTCTCTACAGAATGTTTCATTGGTGGGGACAGCGAGACAAATTTCCCATTATGCGGTATAATCAGCGGGTGTGTATGTACTCCATGAATATACCTTGTGTAATGTCTCAGTACCTATACACAAAAGACGCTATCTGCAAATCCCAGGAAAGACTATATATTTGTATATCCTGCAGGTGGTGACTACAAAGGCTCTGGTGTCGAGCTCCGGACTACCTGGGATCTACTCACCAAACGACTCGCTTCTTCCCAAGCTACGTGCTCACTCCTATTAGAGCTCACCCACCCCCGGCCCCCCGCGCGGCCGGTGGCTTGACTCAGCCTCCGAGGGTTCCCGGGTTCAGTTTCCTGGTGAACGCCGTGTGGCCCGAACTTGTCGCCATGCTGGACCAGAAGATTCCCGCCATCTTTGCACCCGGCAATCCCGACAACTTCCACAAGGTAATGTATGTGGGCCTCCCTTTATAACGACCTGTGATTAGCTCCCTGCTGTCATTTTGAGCTAACCTGTGTATCTGTATAGCTCAGGTGTCTGTGTGTATGTCATAGTAGACCGTTTGAGGTCATAGAGCTATAGCTTGTTTTTCCGTGTTCTTCTACTTAATCCATCATAATATATTTCTCGTTCCTACTTGTTGTCATAAAACCTACCAAACGCCAATTGCTTACTGCTGTTTCGTGTGTGTCTGTGTCTCCTGTCCCTCTCTATACCAGAACTACACGGCCACAATGGAGTTTGTGAGTTCGTTTGAGTCTCTCTGTCCGAATCAGGCCAGCGTGAGGAAACTGAGGGCCCACCCCAGTTTCAACCTATTCCTCGCCAAGTGGAGTTTGCCTGTCTATTTCCAGATCAGGTTTTAAACTAGCGAGACCTAGTGATGTAGCCGTGATGTATATAATAAGATATTATATGTATGTGGTGAGCAATAAATGGTCTGGTAGTAGTCCTTTTTCAACATTTTTCTCTCCGTTTACACGTGGCAATCAAAAAGTGCCAGGATCTTGCACGTGATGACAAGTTTTTTGGTGCTAATGTCTTATTCTTGTATTTAGGTTTCAGGAGATTGCAGGGGTCATGGAAAACTCTTTATCACTGACTCCAGCTCAAGGTATGGACATGATTTAGCTCCCTAGACACCTGTCTGAACTTGGTGTAAATACTTACATGTGACTTTGTCTTTTAAACCGCTATCTATTATCACTACGTCGGTAGTACTTGTTATATAGGGATGGGCATGGTACCTAGCATCATAGATGTTGGTGGCTATGATATATAATATGGTTGATGATTATATTTAATTTTATTAATATGCACTCTGCCTAGAGAGCAGTGTTATGGGGTTTGGTTCTCTCCATACTCCTAGTGTTTTCCTGGGTGTTGAGTTTATTTGCACTTACTTGTATTCAGTTGTCCATTTTAATAATAGACTATGTATTCGTATTTGCCCTCTTGGAAACCTCCCCATAAAATAGAGATAAGAGAACAAATTGGTAGGGTGTTAAAAAGTTCAACTGGAGGTGTTACGTTTGTGGGACTTTTTCAAAGACTGGTCTACGGGGGTATTTCTGACCATCCTCACAACCGGTTTTCTGGAAAACTCTTCCCTTCAGTTCAACAGTCCCACGAGAAATGTATTGTTGTTAATTTATTATACTTAGAAGGACCCTGTGGAGTGTAGAAGAGGTATATGAGCCCAATCTTTAAGGCAAAATGTTAATCTGTGGATTGCATGATTCTGTAAATGTTTTTTTTTTTTTAATGAGCACTTTTCATTTTATTTATTACTTCATGATAGCCTTCTTTTGTCTACAGTGATCATCGAACCCTGTGGTGGTTTGGTGAGCTAACAAACAGTAACAACCTCGAGTATGTTTACTGTAATACTCCGGTAAGAAGAAGCTACTATATAGGATGGCGTTATTGTATCCTGTGAAATACGGGCTCTTAGCTTCAATGTTAGTATTAGGAAGGGCCATTTCTAGAAAGAAAAAAAATGTTGCTAATGCGACCAGAGACTAGAGACACAGGCCACTGTGCTATGCCTAATTTATAAATTGATAGGGGATTTAATAGTGTTGGAAATATGGGGGCAAATGCGTGTATTTATAGGTTCAATGAAGTTGTGTAGTGTAGCTCAAAACGGTATTGGTTACATTCACACATAGACTGGGTCCCTCTAGTGAGAAGTCTCCACTGCCCCCAGCCGGAGGAGGAGCGTCTGGCTCTGGGCCCAGTACCCGGGGGGGAGAGGACTCTGTCTCCCTCACCGTTCCACAAATCTCCACCTCATCCACGACTCACAACTTTTTACTGTACAGGTGCAGTATATATGTGCAGCATAAATCAACTCTTAACAAACCATTGTTCTTCTCTCTACCTGCTTGCCACTATGTACAGTTATAATATACAAAACGGAAGATAGTGCTAATAGTGCTATGTGGAAGCAATGAGAACTGTCTGCGATGCTTATGAATCTCTGATAAGGCTCAACTCGAAAGTGTCCAAGAGGTACTAGCTACTAGATGAATGCTTCGGAGCATCCCTTTTCAGGTTCAGCTGTATTGCGGTGCTATAGTACGTCGTTGCAATTACGTGGAACGTGGGGAAATCACAAGAGCGATGCAAGTCAATGCAATACTGACAATTACCTTTTGAGCGTGCTTCGCGCATGATGTTGCAATCAGTGATCATGCGATTACATCACTGATTGAAGCTGATATATAGCAAAAAGACGTAAAACCTTTTCAGAAGGAAGGACAGGAAATGCCCTATTTTTATGAATAAGTCCCGTGGCCAGATATGCAATCTATTTTATCATGACAAACTTGCAGCTTCTCCGACTTTTGCAAATTTATAATTTTACTGATTTACACCAAGTCTCATAGAGGATGATACATTAGAATGATGCTGGAGTAATATAAGAGATTTCTGCCTGTATAGTAATGCATACTCTTAATATAATATAATAGCTGCCCGGTGATCATAGTATAGTGAAGTGGTGGGGTCTGCCGTTTCCCCCATTTCCCCAGTTAGTCCAACTGCCGGCAGGATTTCTCAGTGTCGGTTCTCACTCGTGAAGGATAACAGGCCACGGATATTTTCTCGAAGCTCAGCGTCCACTCGGTTTCGCCAAATATGTCGCCACTCTCTGATTGCCACTGGTACGATGTACTCTGTGAGCGGCAGAGGCACTCGTATCTCTCTCGTTGGTGTGATCGCACCATGTCTCGGTGGTGCAACCGGGCACGGTACAGCGTACTGCGGGAGGCGGAGGTGTTGTAATCAGCCTCGTAAGTCCAGGGGCAGACCCGTGCCGAGTCAAACTCGGCCAGAGTGTCGGTGCTCCGTCGGCTTCCCTCAGATCCAGCGATACGTTGTTGATGACGTGACTGTTGAGACGTTGAGGTGTTGGAGGTAGTTGATTCTGTGGAGGACTGGTCGCACTCTGTTCCAGGATACATCTGGCCGTGGAGAACTGAGAATGGAGGCAACCAACCACGACCACCAGCCTCACTAGCACACTCATTTGCTGTGGGAGAGAAGACAATATACTCACAGTTTTTAAAAAGAAAAAACATTGAAGAGCGGCTAGAATAATTGGATCAAGTTGAGATGTAAGTAAGTCACCTTTCCAATTCCATGACTATAGACTGATTGAGGTAGAATGTTCCGAGGTTGCTTGTGAAGGCGAAAGAAATCAGGGTCTTCAGATTACTCTTTATTGTTAGAATATCTGAGCTGTTGCTGGTGTGAGGAAACCTCTCACCGACCAGTCTTTTATAGCGGACAATGTTTGGTAAGAGTCTTGTGCAATGCTCCAGGCACTTTGGGAGAAAAAATAAACGTCGTCTGCGAACGTGACGAGCGACAGTAGTTGGAAATAAGTCGTGTCAGGTGTAATAGTGAAAATGATGGGGCTGATGTCATCTTATCGCTGGACATGTTTGGACGGAGTACGTAGTAAATAATGACGTTACACCACTTTGTGTTAAGATAGTCATATACACTAGTAGTACTCGCTCGGCTAATATGGTATTGCAAGTTCCGTAGTATTATGTTATATTTAGGAAGTAATTACTGAAAGTCTGTTTGTTTTCCGGGATTACGTTTGTGCAACGAATGGAAGTGGTTGTAGTGGATTAGGGAATACTGAGCCCACCTTTTTAGCCGGCGTCCCTACTCCAGGGGACACTCGTTACAGCGCCACTTTCCCCTCTGCTCTGATGCAAACCCTTTACTACTCCTCTCCTTTTCCAGCATGTTTTACTTTCCCTTGCCTGTTTTTCTGCCCCCCCCCTCTATATACTCGCATGGTTGCTGGCTCAACTCAATGTCCCACTCCAGCAGTAGCCTTGTGCATCATGCATTGGGGAAATTCTGAGCTGCACGCTTGTCCGTCAACCAATGACTGCCTACACAAACAGTATCTTCATATTTGTTCCATAATAAAGCCAGTACTGAAAACCTGTCCAGAAACTAATGTGAGCATTCAGTACCACTTCAAGCGTAAGCTCTTTTCTACTCACTTCATTCTCTGCTTATGTTACCATCTTGGTTTGGAAACTGGTTACTGTTTCCATTCTCTTCACGATGCAAATTCATAGGCAAACCTATCGTATAACTTTTGCAAATTTAACATACTTAATTTCACCATTATATCCCATTTGGGGAATAATCACAAATAATTACACTGTGATGAAGTAGATATCTCAATATCTCAGAAAAACACATATATACTATATCTTAATATGATTGATGGAATGATCTTGGAAGGCCAAACTATCCTCTCTCTCCTCTATGTTACCCGGACAATACTTGCACAGGCTGCTGCTCCTCGCAAGTACAGGCTACGGTCACCTTCTGGCGTCTCAGCCTCCATCTGTTGCTCTGGTATAGCTCCATTGGTGTCACCTTGCACCTGTCCAGGAGCTCCGTGCTTCCCTCGAGCTCCAGAAACACTGTTGTGACGTTCACCTCTTTCCACTGTTGAGCTATGCTGTAGGTGGCCTCGCACGAGTTCTCCAGTTCGGAGCAGGCTCCGGTGCAGTCGAGCTTGCGAGGGACTCCGTCGCTGCACGTGTTAGTCTCCATCTGTCCCTCTTGGTTCTCGCTGCAGGCGCAGGTGATGGTCTTCTGTCGACAGGGGTTCTGCTCAGTGTGACACTCGACCGACCAGGAGATTTGCGGGATTCGACCGAGGTCGTAGTCGCACACGTATTTCCAGTACTTGTTCTTTGGCTGGAGGCTGTCACTGAGACAGTTGTCGTTGATTAGTTGGTCAAACGAGTTCACAAACTCGTTGCTGTCTAGAATCTCGTTTGCTCGGCTTGCTAGGACTGCCGTAGTCGTCCACGGCGACGTTGAGCGACATTTGGAATCGACTGTCCATGAAGCATTTGAGGTAGCTAGTCTGCATCTCTCTCTGGGACATCTGATGGCACCCTGGGAGAGAGTCCGGGGGAGAGGAGGGAGGGATAGCATTGGAGTTTGAAGAGGAGGAATATTGGTTGGATGTTCGACTGCTGCATGTTGCCTCTACAAGTGTCCACCCACCAACAGCACACAGGAACACGGCCAGTGTGCAAAGACCTGTGCAGATTGTGACAGCCATCCTTAATTTAGTTTTTGTATTCCAGACTCCTCCCCTGCGACACATGTACACACTCACTTTGCTTGTAGATGTCATTACACCTGCTTTATACCCTGCGTTGAATGTTTGGGACATTTCCAAGACAGACAACAAGGTGCTACTATCTATTCTCTGTATTTTGTTTGTGGTCGTATTGTGTGAGGCAGAGAGAGAGAGCAGGATGAGGTGACGTGTTTAACTTTTTAGAGAAAGAGATGGGATGGTTTCTTGTGGCATTTTTACAGTAGATAATATTGAGAGAGGGGGTAAAAGAGGTTTTTGCAGCAGTCATTTGTTTTCAGGTGAGTTTTACATAGTATGTTGTAGGGGATTTGCAATGACACAACTTATTGGGCAATGCTGAGTGTGTGCATTAGATAAATTGTCCGAGTGTGAACGTGTAGCGGTTTTTCCCTCTTTTTCCCCTTCGTCCCTGTACAAACGACTTTCCCTGCCTTCCTTTGTTTGTCTTTTCACAACTGTCAACGTATGCCCGTGTTTGCAAATTTGTATATTTAATGTTGATGTTCTGAGCCGAAACCATCCCAGGGGCCTTGCACAGTATGTGGGGGCATCGTTCATCGTGTCAACAAATGGTCCCTTAATGAAGAAGAGTATCATTGTAAACGTACTGTAAACATGAGTAAGAAATGTGTTTGTAGCACTGTGCCGTGATATTCACCGTCATGATCTATCTCCTCTGTACATTACAGTACCATTTTCTAGGCTGAAGAATACTTATTTATCTTCTTTAGCACTGTGCACTTTCTATTATTGAAAGTAGTGCTGTTGGTCATGAGTGGTGCAAATGAGGAAACTGGTCACACATTGCTTTACTTGGAGCATGCTAGGGGTGCAATAATGATGCAGAAACCAGTTATCTCAGTTTCGCTTGCAGCATGGGTAAGCCGGACCCTTCAGATGCTAATTAGCTACAACAACGAATGCAAGGCTTAGTGATGGAATGTGAGGAGTTCAATTTTTCGTGCACATGTATTTAGAAACATTACAGTATTTGCAGTGCCCGTCACTTCTCGCATAAAAATGACTGGACAGGCTTGCTTTTGCTTGTCAATTGTGATCTGAACGAAGTGATAGTGTTAGCTACTGCGGAGATTCCACGACTGCACCCACACATTCATCTTCTGTGTTGACACCCTTAAGTTCGTGCCTGCATGCAGCGCACACTAACTTCATTTTCACTAAAAATAATTAAAAAACAAATCTAAAATTCCTACTCTTGTGATAAAACAGAGTGCCACCCTCCAGGGTGGTGTGTGATAATTATAAAACACTCCTGATGGTTAGTGAATTGATTTACTCATAACACAGGCAATCTGCAGGTATCCAAAAGGACCTGAGCTGCCACTCCCCCTTCACCTCCGACTCCACCTCGTCCAGTTTATCGTCGTATTCATGGTCCAAAAGATCATCGCCTCCAGCCGCACTAGCGGCAGTTCCGCCCGTGCTCCTCCGGCTGTTCGGCGTGGTGCGGGAGATATCCTCGTAGCGGAGTATTTGAATTTTCTCTTCGTATGGATAACACGAGTATTGCCACTCGTCTTCGGGTCGTCCTTCTGGATCGCAGGGCCCAGGCCCGCGGGAGCATATAGTGAACACGAGCCAGTGCGGGTAGCGAAACCGGTCGTAGTCGCAACTGTAGACCGAGATGCACGACGCGTCTTCGTCGGCGGTTCGTTTCGCTGCAGTTTCGTTTGCGGCGAGTTGCCGGCAGGTCTCCGTGTCCAGGTCCGTGAGGTTCCAGAAGGGGTAGTCGGAGCGCAAGGCCACGTTACGTCGGTACAACCTCGCCAGGAGCTCCTCGGACGGCGCTGGGGGTAGCGGGTCGGGCTCGACGGGGGCGTCCAATCCGTCCTGGCGTCCTTCCCCCCTCGTCGCCGCCTCGGCTGCAGAGTTCGGCAGGAGGCCGCCGCCGCCTCCAGTTCGCCTGGAAGGCAGCGCATGCGCGGAGCCCGCAGCGGCGAAGAAGACGAAGAGGAGGCGAAGTAGAGCGGGGAGCCCCGGCAGCGACGGCCAAACTGGCAACGAGGCTGAGGACGATCGTTGTACTCCTAGCAGTGAAGCGACGCGCAGCCTCATCTTTAGTGTCTGGTGGTCTTTCAAGATTCCTGCAACTTTAATGCCCTCTGCAGTCTGTCCAAAAACTGAAACCGAAAGCATACTGATATCACGTGCTACCAGTGCAGTGCTAAAAACCTGAACTAAGCATGAAAGTTTTTGAACTAGAACTGCACAGAGTAAAAAGTACCCCCCCAACACAAAGATAGCTCAGACACAAAAATAGTTCAGAAACACACAGAAGATGTCTTACAACAGTCTCACTGCACATTTTCTGCAGGTGAAGCAGTTCTTCTCCGACTCTGTCGTGCCAAAACTTTCACTTGAAGCTGTGAAGTCTCCATCTCTAGTCCAAGGTAATGTATATATGGGGTATATAGGCTACACTAATAACTGAAACAAAAGACCTTTTTACTATCTCTTCTCTTCTCCAACCCCCCTACACACGGGCGGGCAGTTCCACCCACCTACCCCTGTTTTTGCGTGTGGATTTGTTTATTTTACCTTGAGTGCGGAAACAATGTCGAAAAGAGGTCTCTCTCTGTCCATTGACTCGAATGTTTGTCTCTCAAAACACTTACCTCGCCGTGGGAACGCCAGAGAGCGCATTCTTTGGACTCGTATACCTTACAGGGAAACATATTTTATTGTGTTTGTGTTGTCGTATGCACGTTCATACTTTCACTATTTACTTACATTTGAGTTCAATTGGATGCCGTCTGGTCTGAGTGGCGAGCAGTGTACTTCCTTTTTTAGGCATGCTCTACCTGAATAGTTTTTGATGGCCATTGGCTATTAATGATGGTAAGAACACACAGGCTATATAGGAGGGATAGAGAAAGAACCAGCTTCTGTCAGGAGTCTTGCTCAGGCATCATGACTGAAACTCCCTCTTGGCCTGTGTATATCTATCATTCATCCGTCGATCTGGTCCAACTAAGAATACTCCACTAGTGAATATTATGCTCTCCACAGATTGTATGGCTGAGGCAGTGAGGAGGATTGAGGGGCTGGTTCCACTGAGTGCTGACAGCATCACGTCCCAGGTGGGCCAGGCCTGCTCCAGGAACCTCGAGCCAGCCCGCACCATCCCTCGACTCTACCGAAGAACAAACAGAGAAGTTAGTAACTCCCCATACACTCACTGAATAGTTTCCCCCTTCATTTGATTTTCTAACCCCTATTTTCGTATGCAAAAGATTCCTCTACACTACCATCTGTTTCAGTTCTCAATACTTTATCCTCTTCCCTGTCTCTGCTATTTCCTCCCATCTATTTTGTATGGTGACTTGTAATTGGACTATCTATTAAAGTGCTAATGTGTTGTAGTTGACTGTGAGCAATTGTGCCACTGCCAAACCAAGGGACTGTCTACCATACTTATATAGTTATGCTGACTACAGTGCCATTGTAGGGGGTATAGTTAGTAGTCAAACCTCCATTGATCACTGTGCCCCCACCTCCCTTCACTTTCTGTAACACGTCACGTAGTGACAAGTCTGCTGCTGCTTGTAGGTTTATTAGACAGCATGACAGCATGTAGACTGATAAAAGCAGTCGTCTACCAATTTTGCTGTATGGCAGAGTAATAAAAAGTTTTCTCTTCTTCAAAATTTTCCCGCTGGACTAGTTGGGAATGTGATGAGCTTCTTATTTCATCACTCGAGTTAACTCCCCTCGTGTCTTGATTTTACTACATCCTGGTATCGTACATCTATGTACCTCCGTCTGTTATTTTTCCGAGGGTTGTCTTGGCTAGTCTCATTCCTAATGAGGTAAGCCTACACCTCGGAACAATGTTGCAATAACACACCACGCCACCTTTTTTTCCCGCCTTTTTCCCAGCTCACGAACATGCAAGCAAGCGAGGCGCTGGAATACATTACGCCTAAAACAGGGGAAATCTGTGCGGCTGCCTGCGTGTTCTCGTAACAATGCGGGACGTACCCCGCGGAAATCCATTTACAAATGTTTGTTGGCAAATACGCGGGGTTGTTATTAGCGGGAGAAGCTTCCCTGGGTGCTGCACTGTGGTGGTGTTTGTTTGTTTCATGAGCTATTGCTTCATCTCTCGATGAACGCATGAGCTCTTGGCATGACATACTGCTTTTGGAGACAAGAAGAGAATGTGGTGTTGTTTAAAGAAAAGGGGTAGAAGGGGAAGGAAATGTGTTGCAATGGCTGGGACTAATAGAAATAATCACTGCATGTATTAGTTTGTTATTTGGCATCTTGGCAATTAAGAACCTGGCTTATTGCATCATTTTAGCTACCCCTCCCATTTCACTTATTCCATCTCGAAGTGTAACGCCGACGTGGTGTGATGCTAGAAAACTGATGACCCTTCTAAGTACATACAAAATCTAGATCTAAAGTGAAATCTACTAGTTTTGCAAGCTGCCAAATACCAATAATGCATCCAAATAATGCCATTTCTATGTGGTGACGGTTTTCGCCTGGATTCACAACTTTTATGTGAACACTGCACAAGTCGAATTCTGACAATTCTGTGTCTGTGTGTTCCTGTCACACGCAGGTGCCTCAGCAGGCGTTGAGTTATGTTGGGGAACATCCTCCGACCCCTCGTGACGCTCAGAGGGGAGATCCCTGCCAATTTCGAGAAGCAGTGGAGCACTTGTATTGTGGAGGCAGTCACAAAGAGGTACAGTTAGGGTAGCCCCTTCATAAGGAATTTTATTGCATAACCGGCCACAAATGTGGGATGGCATACAAATACAGCAGAAAAACCCCTGAAATGGGACACCCAAGAGCAGTTTTTGAACACCCTGAGGACCCTGAGGAGACTTTCCTCTCATGTACCATTGGTGTCTGCACTCTGGTTTTAAGAGTGCAGCACACTTTTTGGAGGAGCTAATGGTCCTAGGCAACTACCAGTGTCACGATTAAGGTTTTTTAATTTCCAAATACCACATTAAATATCAATAGCCTTGATTTCAGGGATAGACTGTGTTTGTTTTCTGTCCCGTTAGGTACCATGAGATCACATCAGAGGTGCTGACGTCTGTGAAACGGACGGAGGACAGTCTGTTGAAGCTACGGCGCAACAGGCAGTCCCTCCTCCCAGCAACGGGGATGAGCGACGACAACAAGATACGGCTCCAGATTGCGCTCGATATCGAGGCCTATTACTCTCAGGTTCATTCGTACCGTAACTGCCAGCGTTTGGGGGAGAAAACAATGTCGTTGTTTTGAGTCTCCTCTGCAATAGTTTATCTGTAACATTTTCTCTACGAACGTTGTTTGCCCGTAGGCTTGTGTATTCATTTCCGTTGCTTAAATTTTGTTTATCTAAGAGTAAAGTGAGTGATTTCCTGTGGTACAATGTAAAGTGGTCTGTTTAACTAGAGTAAAGACTGTCAGGATGTAGAGGGCAGTTTGGTAGGAGGAAAAACTGCGTCAGCAAGAATTCTCTAGGGATGTTGCTGTTTCTGTGGCCGTGGTCAGTTTGAGGTGTCTGGATTTCATTGACTTTCCTTCAAAAGACTTCTTGGAGCCAACAGTTTTCACACATTCACTTCCATGTGTGTCTGTTTTCACTCTCTGTTGCAGGTGGAGAATTTCGGCAGCGGAGTGGCACGGGATTCATCTCTGTCATCATCTCTGAACCAACTCCTGGAGACTGGAAAAGCTGCCAAGACTCTCGCAGTGACTGCCTCCTCCTCCTCCTCTCCCTCTTCCTGAACCCAACTCTCCAATCATGTCTCACACTAATAGTGAATCTGAATCATGCACGAGTTTTTGCTACACACCGTCCATAACATGGCTCTTTCCTCCCGTATAACTACAGTTTCCCACACTTCCTCTTGGAAGATTCCTGGAACGAGAAACTGCTCCCAAATCAAGGAACACAATTTCATTATGTATACAATGATCATAGTGCGGCATACATAATAATATTGCTGTAATACTAGGGCAGGTGAGTTCATGTGAGTTATGGTTTAGAGTTCAGTATTGGTGCTGTGGTTTGTAGCCGGAGGTGCTAATGATGAGAGGGGGCCCTCTTTGAGTGCCTTTAGGGCCTCTCCAATTGAGGACACAAGTCGACACAACAGAATCGACTCCTCCAGCGAGTGACTTGCGTCCAGTTCTCTGGAGCACCACTTTAGCTTTGCCACCAGCACCGACTGGGCCTCCAGGCCAGCCTCGTGCAGGGACACAATAACGGGGGGTTGTGCTGGCAGATCAATAGAGTCAGAGGACGCGTTTTTCTTGAGTTGCATCGCACTCTCGCAACTGGTGGATCCACTGGGAGATGCCCTCTTTCTCCCCATCGACTGGATGACACCCGGATTTGTCCGCGGCCTTGTACGCTTTATGTCGCTACTGAATTTCATGCCGTCGTGGTCTGCAGCTGGTGTTGTCGTCATCTTGAACGTGTCGCTCGTCCTCCCTGAAGACACTACTGGTACAGTGTCGGCATCCTTGGTGTCTGATTGGGTTGGAGGTGGGGTGGTGGCCGGACCACCGGGTGTTGTGGAGGTAGTAGGAGGATGGTGACAATGTTCTGGACTTGATGACGCTGCTGTAGATGGTCCAGTACTGCTGGTTGTAGTAGCTGTATATAGTTGGAGGAGGAAGGGGAGGGGAAGAGGAGGAAGAGGAGAATTGGGAATTTTGGGCTCATAATCGGCCAAAGCATACACTCAGGAAAACACAGCAGTAGAAACAAGGGTGTGGTTTTCAGTGGCAGATAATAGATATTCACCTTTGGCTATCTCTTGACAGTAGACACAGTAGTATGCTCCATCTCTTGACCGGAGAAGGATATTCTATATATGCATGTGTGGGTAGGAAGAAATGGCGGCAACTGTGACCATGGGAGAGATCCAAAAATAACACCTCGGCCCACTATCCAACCAATCCTGGAAAGAAATGTGGTGTTTCGCGGGTAGATACAACACACGTGCCATTGCCCATTCTTTTTGCTCGCTAACCAGCCTTTCGGCACAGCTACACTGAAAATATCCGTCCGTGGACAATAGAATGCATCGTTTTTCACCGACAGTATACATAGCTCGTGAGACGGAAAAAACCCTTCCGAGAAACGGCGAGTTTCGATCCCCAATTTCGGTATTGGAGTGACCGCAGATCTGCCCATGTGAACAAACACCCCATCCCGCCATACATACCTACAGTGAGTGTATATACTACACATCAAACAGACGTCAGGCAAAGGTACTTTCAGTATATTAGCCTCAGGCTGCAACGTTTTCAAAATTCTCAGCAAACAGCAACTGCAGAGCCATTAATACGACTCGCTTTGCGTCTGAAAGGCATGGAATCTGGTGACTGTTCGCTTTCACATCGCATAGACAGCTGTGGAACTTTCACTTGCACTGTACCTACGCGGCGTACCATGTAAAGACGGAGAGCTAAATAGCATGAAAGAAACACGTGATCTTTCCCCTGGACAGTGTGCAGTATTTCGCCGATGTGACGTATACTATACATACACCCTTTTCGCAGTTAGTATGCCATGTGTTGTAATGGCAATGTACTATATACTGTAACTGTCAAAGAGAGAGGAGGGAAACCTTAGCCAGAGTAAACCAAGACTCAGTGGCGTGCAAACGACATGTATTACTGAATGAGCCAAACACTAGAAATCATTTGCGCATGCGCACAAACGCGAACAAATCCTCAATCTCGACTCTCTTCCGTTCACAACTACTGGAACGTAACTTGTTTCAATAACCTGCCAACCCCCAAAAGCACACGTCTCTGTGTGTGTGTGTGTGTCTGTGTGTACACGGAGGACTCCACGCACATGCACTCACATCGCAGTCCGTACAGTTGGCGCTGAGCATGCGGTAGCCCTTGAGAAGATACTGACCCATCAAGTAGGACACCTTCTCCCTCGTGTCCCTCGCTTCTGCCCACGCCGCCTCCTGCTCAGGCCCAGACGTCTCTGTCTCTGTAGCCACGCGAGCAGCCATTTTTTTGCACAGTGGGGCGGGCGGGGGAACCCCTCTATTACGTCAGGTGTGGGGGCGGGGTCGACTCAGTTGTCATGGAAATATCCGCAGAACCCTAACAGTTCTGGAGGGAGGGAGAGAGGGAAGAGTTTGCACAAGAACAGAGAGATCGAGCTCTCTAGTAGATGGTAGGAGGAGAGAGGGAGCAGTAGTCACCAAGTGAGAAATATCATTGGTCCCTTTTCGCGAAGACATGAGCGGAGCAACGGCCGAGTTGGTGAGGCTGATCGACCTCTCGCTCGGGAACCAGCCGAGCGGCGCCGTCAACTTCAACTACCTCCACACTCTCATGCACGCAATCGTGGGTCGTCTTGGGTCTATAGAGCACGCGTATCTTGCCGATGGAGCCGTGGACGGCCTGATCCTGCCGGCGACTGGAGAAATCGCAGGAGGCGGTGCAGGAACCGCGGGAGGAGGCGTCGATGCATCCGCAGGAGGAGGGAGAGCCGGGGAAAGAACTACAACAGCTGCTGGTGTAGGCGGTAGGGAAATGAAGACAGGAGAACCGAGTGGTACGGAGGGTAAGGAGGGAGCAGTGACCAGTGGCACATCTCAGGAGCCAGGGAAAGCAGAGGAGGCGGTTGACGGCACTGGGGAAGTCACCAGAAAGGAGCCTTCCCTCCCCCCACCTGGAACGGGGGGAGACGATCTGTCAGAGTCAAGAATCCCGTCGTCTGGTCGAGCATCCAGGGCCGGCCAACACAGCAGTTCAGACTTCTACCAGCGGCAGAAGTCGACGTTTGTGACGGCGGCCAACGACCTGGGAGCCCTGGAGAGGAAACTGCAGGAGCTGGAGAGCAGGCTGAATGCCATGGACACACTTCCAGAGCTCCTCGAGAGGAAATCCTCAGACATGGGCGCGACGCCGATCAAGGACCGTTGGAATTTCACCAACCTCACCAAGCGACTGAGTGCAGCCGAGGATGGGTTGGAGCAGGTGCGTGTGTGTATTGTATGACGGGGAAAAAATTGACAGTCATTTCAATATGGTCGTTTAGCAATCGCATTTGAAAGCTTTGTGCAATATACATTTTGCCCAAATGTTACAACTGAAAAATGACACAAAGTCCTAACTCTAATGACCCTCTATATATAGTTTTCCTTATTGGTATGAAGTAGCATTGTTAATGTTTGACCACAAATGGTGGGCCACGTATCCACTCACAGAACTCGACCCTGGTGGATGATCTACTGGGAGAGGTGCAGAACATCAAGTCTGCCGTGACAGGATGCGAGAACTCACTGTCTCAACTTGGAGACAAGGCAAGAAAACTCAGTAGTACATGTATCTGTCTGTGTGAAGACAAGTAGATCAGTTTTCGTGCATAGAATATGCAAATAAATGCACACTGCAATAAAGGTTTGCTCTGTAGAAATGTTCTTCGGTAGCAGGAACCACGAACAAAATCATTATGCGAACCTGTTGCCCTGCGAAAATCTCTCCCTCTTTCCCAAACCACCTCCCTATACACAGCTGTCAGGTGAGATTGCTGGCATCATGGAACAGCTGAAGGCACTGGATGACCTGAAGATGGCAGCAGCCAAAGACTCCATGGGAGAAGCCGCTGCAGGTAAAACAGCGTTTCTGCACCAGTGGATCTGGTGTAGGGTGTGATGTGTTCGTTGTGCAGCGATGTTGAGTGAGCTCCAGAGCAAGATTGACTCTCTCCAGTCTGAACTGAATAATGTCAAAGTCAGTATAATATAGTAACACAGTGTTCTAATGTAATGTAGTATGGGGCAGAACCAGTGTACCTTATAGAGAGATGTCCTATATTTTTCGGAGGGTCGTTTCACTGTATAAACCAGTCCCACCACCACAGGGAGCGGTGGATTCCCTGGACCTGAGTCCGTTTGCCACGAGGGCAGAGGTGGAGGAGCAGAGCCAGCAGTCCTCGGAGCTGGGAGGGAGGATGGAGAGTGTGGAGGGAGACATGGGGAGACTCACGGAGCAGATTGAGCAGCTTAAGGTCACAAATTTCCTCACATAGATACAACTCACACGTGTTCACTTTACGTCACATTTTCGAGACTATTTAGGCACCCTGCAGAAAACTTACACTAATTTTCAGTTACGAACTACTTAAGAACGTTAGCAGTTAGCATGTATGTACAGTATTACAGCATGTAGAGTGATATCTGTACTAATGGTATACCACTGTCTGCAGACTACGAAACTCAACATAGCGGACATGGCCTCGCTGATGCCAACTGGAGACTCAGAGGAAATGGCTGCTCTCCTCCCAAGACTCATGGAGCTGCAGAGTCGACTGGACCAAGTCGAAGGTGTCTCACACTTCTACACTACGCATGACACACTAACGTAAAGCCAATTTGCCCCTAGTAGAGCTGTCCTAGCCAGTTGAGACCTTAATAGTAGACACTTTGCCCTGGTACAAGGAAGGAAGATGAAATACACTGTTCAGTAGGGGAAGAGAAGTAACCAACCATTGTCCAGAGTCCAACCCAGTGTCGTGACTGGAAGTCCAGTGTACTCAGCACTGATCTATACCGACAAAAACTGGTCTTCCCCAATCCTTCTAAGTACCAGTGGTTGTTGGCCATCTGACAACCTCTCCAATTACTGCTCTTGGTTACTGCATCACTGCGTATATAGATGTATGAGCACGTGTGATGTCACACTGCACCTCTGCCGTGTACAGGAGAACTGGGGAAGGCCACAGCTCTACCACCTGATGTGATGGACCAGATCTCAGCCATGCAGAAAGCCATTGATAAACTGACTGCCGACCTTGCCTCCGTGAGTTGTGATAAAGTCACTCATTTTCGGTATACGCACACTCCCATTTGTGGCTAACTGTATTATAGAACATGGTGTAAACGTGTGTTTTCTTCTTCCAGCTGTCGTCTCAGATTGGAGGTAGCAGCGAGGAGCGTGCGAGACTGGAGGAGCTAGGGTCAGAGGTCGCTCAGATGAGAGAGAGGATGGCTGAAGTGGACAGAGCAGTCGGTGCTCTCACAGATGCCGGTAATAGAGATGACCCCTTTCTCTCATTCTCCTTTATCACAAAGTCAATAGTTCGCACCGTTCAAAGAGCTGGGAGGATTAACAAATTGCATGAAAGCAACTTTTGGTTTCACGAACGTGGTTGGCCAACTTCAATTTTCATGATTTCATAAATCTTGCGAAAGATATTGTGCGACACCCTGATCATAAAAATGAAACGAGGAGTAAGCGTACAAGATTTGATCTCTTGTGCAGCAACACACGGACACGTTTTCCTCCACACAGTCTCCACGCTGCGGGATTCAGCCGCCCCAGCCGATGAAGAATCGGACGTCAAGTACGCGGACCTGGACTCCGTGACGGCACTGCAGGAGTTGGTGACCCAGCAGCAGCAGGACCAGGAGAGACTCATCGGCACCGTCGCACACGTCTCCAACGAGGTGGAGATCAACAAGGAACACATCAAGGTAGAGACATTCTACCTTTCCTGGGTGTATATACATATTGACTTTTTTTGCTTTTGCCTTGCTACCGTGCTTTGCCTTGGAGCGTCAAATATTCTGTCACACAACTCCACTTCCATCCCGTTGTTCCAAAACTTCTGTAAAAATGTTCCATTTTCTGTGGTGTTTGGCTTTCTTCAGCTCCCTTCTTCACTCTCTATGTGTGAAAGACCTTGGATTTTTGTGTCTTGATATAATTATACGAACATCATATCATGTACCACACTACATACATTGAACCCTATGTCTTATGTGACCAACGGCTGAATGGACGGGGGATTCACACATTAATTAACCCTCTCACCACCACCAGGCTCTCTACTCGTCAGCGGATGAACTGAGAGCAACAAAGGCCGACAGGGAGCAGCTAGAGGTAGAGGTCAGAGAGGTCAGTAGCATACTACAGCATACGTAATGTGTCAAGTTAGAGATAGGATCCACCAAGTGTTTGATCAGGCAGCTCATGATTGTGGGAGCTGCGATGATCAACGTTTTCAACAAACCAGAATGATCTCTGTTTACATGAAGAATTTGAGTCTGACATCACAATTGCTTGCGCTTCCTTTTTACCTAAAGCTTGCTAGTAAACGTTGAAACCCTGCATCAATCACAAACTTAGCCTGTGTATATAGCAGTAGTGTGTCAGGATTTACACACGCCTGCTGTCTATGGCTACAGAAAGCAGACCGAGCGGCGCTGGAAGGGAAGGCAAGTCGAGAATGGGTGGACTCGACATTTGAGAGGCTGGACCAGAAGATCAGGGAGGCAAGGGACCAAATGATGGGGCAGGAGGAAGCCCTCCGCTCGGCCGTGCACCGACTCGACGAAGACGTGGACACAAAACTGGACAAAGGAGAGCTGGAGCCTCTCAAAGACTACTTTGGTCAGTGTTACACTAGTTTTCTAACTGTCAGCATGATTTTTTCAGAGAAGGGCCACTTTACCTGGAATGTGTATCTCTAACTCTAGACAAGAAGTTTGCTCGAGTGAAGACAGCTCCAGCAGAGAGAGAAGAGGCACTGGTTGAAGATGCCGCCGGATTCAGAAAGTAAGCCATGCTGTATACAATACTGTGGACTGGAGCATGAGACCCACACCGGTGTACCCTACCACCACATGCAGGCCTCTGAGGTTTAGGTGCATCTCCTGTGACAGACCACTGGGACTGAAACAAGCTGAGTGAGTGAGGGCTGGTGGACACACTTGTGCAACTGTACTTCACGCAAACTCCCTCCCTGGCTTCCACCTCTCCTTCTCTCTCTCCCTCTTTCTCCCTCCCTCCCACCTCTCTTTCTCTCCCTCTCCCTCCTCTCTTTCTCTCCTCTCTTTCCCTCTCCCTCTTCTCTCTCTCTCCTCTTTCTCTCTCTTTCCCTCCTCTCTCTCTCTCTCTCTCCCTCCCAGGGCCATACCAGCTCTACCGTCAGTGGGCACAATGCCAGGCACTCGCTCCTTCAGACCCTACACCACTTACGAACTGGAGCTCATACGAAGACACCAGAGAATGTCAGCTTCCTTTATACCGTATCAGTCTTTACTATGAGCTAGGGCACAGTTTCCACTGCCAAGGAAAATACATTGGTGTGTGTGAAACCTCTGAATAAGGGACACCTTGGGAACAGTGAGAGTGTCCTTTATTCAGAGGTAGTTATAACACACTAGTGTATTAGTATGGGGCAGAACTAACAGAGCTGTGTCCTTTCACTGTATTGTAAACCAATGGTCAAAATAAGCACGAATTGCGATGTGTTTTATTTGAAGTCTACAGCACTCAGTCTTCAGTGTTGATGTGAAGTGCATGGCAATTGTGTCTATAGGGGTCTGCCTGTGTTTGGACCAATGATGCAGTTCTCCCGAGGACCTCGCAGTGCGGGCGGGGCACACACCCTCACCCACAGCAGACGGAGGGTCAGAGTGGCTCCCCTCAGCTCCGCCTACTCCCCCGAGCCCTACACTAACCCTCCCTCTCGAGTCAGGTCAGCTGGTGTGCGTGTGCACATGTGTATATACTGTGAGTGGTATTGTGGGAGTTTTCTATGGACGTTGAAAGGGGGAATATGGAGATGGTATAAAAGGGAAGGAAGACCAAGATAAAACCACAGCTTGGTAGCTGATCTTTTACTCTGGAATCCATACTTATAGAATTCGTGGAAATTTTCCTCTCAAATGTTTCTGTGTTGGTTGGTGGTTGTCATGAAGAGGGGAAAGAATATGGTGGGAGAGGGGTTATGCTGCCGTACAGGGTATGCTCTGCTGATGAGGGCCAACAAGCCCGAAACAGCTGTCCAGAGCTCCACATCTTTTTTCTCTTGGCATCACATTGTCTAATACCTTCATGTATCCACCCAGTGTTCACCATGAGCTAGACATAACTGGTCAAGATGGCCACATCTACAAGGGAAGGATGTCTAGTCGCAACAAACTGCCTCGTCTCAAGGTCAGCCCCTCCACCTCTCCTCTCCATCCCTCTCTCTAAATCAGTGTTCCCCTCACACACAGAGTCGAAACTACACCTACCAGTGAAACCATCCACCCATCCGTCCCACCTCTCTTCCCCAACCATTTTTCACATCACAATACACACACACACACACTCTCTCTCCATAAGCATGCACATGTACACATCAACAGTGTTCTGCTATAGACAGCATGTCGAATATATAGTTTGATGAGAGGATTCTCTTTCTATAAATCACACAATGGACACATGTTCTGTGTTCAAGTCTTCTATTGTGTGTGGTCTTAGAACTGTTTGTGTCAGAATCGATTGGTTAGATCACGAAATCTTCAAACGTTTTGTATAATTGTACACTGCCACAATAGCAACATAAAATTGGTATCATGTCAGTATTACATGTGTAAAAAAGCGCCTAGACATAAAGATGGATGAAAGAAATGGACATAATGAGGCAGTAATTCGAACAGAGCCACAGCGACACTTTACAGAGAGAAAAAGGAGGAGAAATGGAAGGGGGAGAGGGGTGCCGCGGTAGGGATCCACTTGTCAATACTCTGCTTCCTTGATGCACTCCTCAACCATCTCCCTGAGTCCTGGATTCTCCATGGCCGCGGCCACCCTCTCCTTGTCATTGATCTGCTTGTTCACGTCACCTTCGATGGCGTGCGCACCCTCCGACACAACAATGTCCAGTTTGAACCTTGCCTCCAAACATCGCTCCAGCTTCACGCGGAGACAGAGTCCGATGAGAGTAGCCAGCGAGCAGTGCGGGACGGTCGGAGTAAACACTAACTTAATCCACAGCTCTTCTTCTTCCTCTTCTTCGGTTTTGTTGGTAATGCCTGAGGGCAGAGTGGATTTGGTTTCCACAGAGGTTTGACTGCTGCTGTCGGTTTGTTGAGTGTTGGATGCGGCAACTAGGTATAGTAAGAAGGGGGAGGACCATGGAGAAAGGGGGAAGAAAGAGAGAGAAGAGTGAAAGATAAAAAGAGATTGAGGAAAGAGTCCCTAGATCACCCAAAGCTTACCTCTATTCTGACAGAAGGTGTGGCGACGGACAGTAATGCAGTCCTCGCTGACAACATTGAGCTCCTCCAGAGTGTGAGGGTGTTCAGGGTCCTTTATGTCTCGGATCAGGTCTGCCGTCAGAAGAGAGAATCGAACACAACTCGACCAGGAAATTGCTGACCGAATATCTCCGAGACTACAGGGTCCAGTTGGGGGTCAGGTGGCTTGTGGGACGGGCTGCAGAGCGTTGGGTTTGGGTTGCTGAGCCCTCCTTGAGGCTGCAGCGGGGCTGCGGCCATTCACAGAGCTACCGGACACGCTCCAGGATGCCTGTTCGGCATCAGCTTGTTGCGCTCCAATTAGAATCAGCAGTAGCCCAACCCCTTCATTTCCCTGAAGTGCAGCTTTTCAGTCAAGAGTTGAGGACGACGGTGGTCTAGATGGCGGGGGAGACGTGCAGTCCGCCGTTCAGGAAGCTGCTGGCAGCGGAACTGCGGCTGGATCCGCGGCAGTGGGGACCAGGGCCCATGAGGCATGCGACGCGGGACTACCGGAACGCGGACGTGGCCGCTGCTGATCCCGGGTCTGAAGCCGTGCTGGAAGTAGATTGTCTGGTGAGCCAGCGGTCACACGGAGGGGAGTGGGCTCGGGTTACCGTAGCAGAGCCCCGTATATCTTAGTATGTATGCTTGTGCGTGATATATTATGCTGAACGAAAGGACAATGAATGCTGCATTAGTAGTCAACGAATCATTGGCAGGTGCACGAGGAGTGGGTGGGGGGAGCAAGTGAAGGAGTCCTGCCTCCACCCCACGTCCTTCCCCTGCCGGCCGAAGAGGTCCACTGGCTGCTCCAGACGTCATGTGACTGCCCCACCCCCCAAAACTGGCTCCGGGTCTCCATTCTGTGCCTCCGCAAGGCCTCGGAACCGGACTCACACACCTCCGGAAGTGCCAAGAGGTATAGAGTTATGTTGTACCTGAATGCAGGAGCATGTGTGGCGAGAGGCAGAGTTGGTGTGAATGCTGTTACTTATCCGCCCCTTCACCAGCACTGTAGTACACATGAATCTGCTTCAGTTGCCTGCATACAGTGGAACCTCCGAGAACGACCATTCTAATATAGAAAACCTCTCTGTTGGTTGGTTGGGACACCTCTGGAGAAGGGACGCTTTCAATGTCCCCACGGTGGTGTCCCTTATTTGGGAAGTTGAATAACTGTGTACCTATGTAAGAAACTTCTGCATGCCCAGCATAGTTTTGTTGGTATGTGGGACCCTCTGCGTGACATTTTGCCTTTGTGGGGGTTATTTGTCCCCCTGACTAAAGCCCATGCCCTGAACTTGTCTGCAGCTGTTTTCTATACACTTATTTATTATGTGTGGAGGCCAGGAAGGAACCAGTAATAAATCCCTATCACAACGTTTTTATTGGGGACTTAATACTCTTTAGCCACTATGTCATAATGTATAATTGTACATAATTATTGTGATGGTGTTACTGTTCCAACACCAGGTTTCTGATCCCTCAAGAAAGAGTATACTCAAAGACAAGTATTCATGAGCTCTTGACCCAGGTACGTATGTAATCTCCATTCCTTGAAAATATTTATTTTCGTTTTTCACCCTCCAACACATTATCTAGCAAAGAGTATATATATACCCTAGGCCCCGCCCCCACCACCTGGTTCTTTCTCCACTCTCTCTCCTCCTCTCTCTCTCACTGGTAGATATCCCAGGAGAACCTGCTCTCCTCGTGGCAGGAGGTATTGCAGTCGGTCCACCCCGCACCCTCCACTGGCCACAGACAACCAACCAACGTGAGTCTTGGACTGTTTATCAGCTGAGTGAAGTATAGCATGTATGTATGTTGTTTCTTTCATTTCCCACATCAGTGTTGACTTATAAATCTTCTCTATGAGTTGCCAGTGTTCGTATGTATGTACATATTTCTCATCTGAGAATTTACAGGAGAGCCTGTAGCGCTTTGCTTAGGGTATTGCATGCACAAATTATGAATAAATATAACTGCAGCATACGCAAACATGTGGGGGATGGTATATGTCTACCAGTATACGATGAACAGAAAGTTGACATTGTTTTTTCTTATTTGCAACAACAAACACGCACACACACACACACACACACACACACACACACACACTGAAACCAGTCTTACGTACGCGAGGTGGTCTACAAGCTCTACCACACTGAGATCCAGACCATTGTGCCGGGACCAATACCGCCACAGAAAATGAAGCACAGCACACCACAGGACAACAAGTCCACCTCTGCCATTCTTCCGCTGCAACCCGGAGCCAGGGATCAAAACTTTTCACCCGATGTGACGACGGGAGGGAGAGAGGAAGACAGACAGACCCACTCTAACTTGTCTCCTCTGCTGGCAGCTCTAGAGGGCCGCCATGCGTTCTACCTCGTCTTCCCGTACTCTCGGTTCACCCTCCTCGACGTTGCTCTGCACAGTCCGGCGATGTTTAACGACTCCACGTCGAAGCCTCTCTTTGTGCTGTTCCAGCTTCTGAAGGTGCTGGAGCACTCTCATAGAGTCGGCGTCACTCTTGGGACACTGTCTCTACGGAGCATCTTTGTTGACAGCCGGCTGTGGGTCACGGTGAGGATCCCGAGAGATAATCTGCGTCTGATATCTTCCGAGGAGAGAGAGGGGGAGAGGGGAGAGGTGTCTTCTGGTCAGGAGGGGGAGAAAAGAGGAGGGAGAGATGTGAAGATTGGCAAGGCGAGAGAGAGGAAGACAAGTGAGTGGAGGGAGAGGAAGATACGAGAGACGATGGACGACAGTCCGTCCGCCTCGGCCTCGACTGTGACGGTCTCAGACCCAGAGATGGAGGCAGAGCTCTCAGAGAGTGCTAAAGACACCTCCTCGGACTCGAGTCCCACAAAACAACTCTCGGTTCCTGACCACGGGAGCCCCTCCCCGCCCCGTCAGACGGAAGTCTCCGACCCCCCAGCTATCCCTCTGAGCGAGGCTGTGAAACTCTGGCAGCACGGAACCGTTGACAACTTCACCTATCTCCTCTTGCTGAACAAGCACGCCGGCCGACGACTCGGGGACGCAAACAACCACCCCATCTTCCCCTGGGTGTGCGATTTCACCCACCCCACCCGCAGCTTCAGAGACCTCACCAAATCGAAATTCAGACTCAACAAGGGCGACGACCAGTTGAACTTCACCTACAGCAACGCCCGGGACGAGATGAGGAGGGGCGCGGACACTGACTCCTCTCCCACCCCGCACCACGTTGGAGACATACTCAGCGACGTCACATACTACGTCTACAAGGCCCGTCAGACTCCCCGCGAAGTCCTCTGTACTCACGTGAGGCCTCGCTGGGTCCCCGAAGAGTACCCTTCATCGATGGAGAAGATGTACACGTGGACACCGGACGAATGCATCCCGGAGTTTTTCACGGATCCGCTCTTGTTCCGCTCCATTCATCCAGATCTACCCGACCTCACACTCCCTACCTGGTGTGACTCCCCCGAGAGTTTCGTCGCAGCTCATCGGCAGATCTTGGAGGGCGACTTCGTATCGTCGCAGCTGCACCACTGGATCGATCTCACGTTCGGCTACAAGCTGTCGGGAGAGGCTGCAGTGAGAGCAAAGAATGTGTACGTCTCGCTCGTGGACAAGCACAAGAACCCGAAGAACCACGGGATAGTTCAGCTGTTTAGGGCGTCACACCCTAAACGAGCTCAGGGTAGTAGCTGCACATCCGTGGCTCTCCTCGAATGGGAGACCTACCTCGGCCAGAGTAGGGTGAGCGATGGAGCAAGTTTTCCCGTCGATCGCCAGGAGATTATTGCGCGATTCGTGCGGGGATCTTCCGCTTTGGGGAGAGGGAACGGCGGTGGGGTGGCGGGTGATGGTGGCGGTGGCCGGGTGCAGGTGAGGACTTTAGAGAGCATCGTGGAACAGCAGATCCAGGGGAGGGACTAGAAACGAATGGGGAGACGAGGAGGGGGAAGATGAGGCCGATGGAGAGGCGGACCCCGCCGAGGAACCCTCCCATTTAGACTCCTCGTTCGAACAGATTCCGTTCCCCAACGAATCTTTCTCCAGCAACACTCACCCGGGGCTCCCGAACATCTCCTACGGTGATTCCGCCCTGGAGCCACCTCTCCCTCCACCCACTCTCTCCACCCAACAGGGGAAGATGCCAGGTGGGGGGGTGCCAGCCGTGAGATTCAAAGAAGTCGCGGTACTCAACTCCGCCCAGACACACCCAGGCGGGCAGAACAGGTTCCCGAGTGGCGCGGTACTTTCGGCAGCGGCGGCAGACCCAGTCGGATGGGAGCGTGGACGAGTATCCATGGCAGGGGGTGGAGATCGGGCTACCGAGGGAGTCCCATGTTCTTCGAGGTCTGGCCGAGCAGGAAGAGAGGGCCCACTTTGTCACGAGATGCTGCAAGGACTTTGGCGACAGTCTCGGTCCACCCTGGGAGCAGACAGACCTGGAGGTTAGCAAGTCTCTACATGTAGCTGAAACTGAATGTCAAACAAACATACATACTGTGTGTCTACATTTGTGTATGGACACGCAGCACTTTTGGTATATAAGCAAGTTTGGGTAGTGTAGACTGTGTCATGTGCAGCCTTTACTTTTCTGAACTGACTTTGAGGTTGAGTTAACAAAATTCATACAAAACGTCTCGAGAAGTTGGACCAGTCATGGCAGCCACAGTTCAATTTGTGACCTAGTCGTCTGAATGCGGGATTTTTCTACATGTATATTATGTATGTGACGGAACATATAATTGTAATGTTGTACGTGATTCTAAATACCCGCGAATAATTGAACTGCTCCCTTCACTCACCAAAAAATGTGTTGCATATAGTAACATGGTTTCTATCTCTCCCCAGGAGGTTGCCAGTGCAACAGCCCCGCCCCACCTCCCTCCACTCATGGTCCTCCTGACGCGGATGGACTCCGACCCTCTCTTCACCCCGTCCCTGGAGGAGAGGGTCATGGTGGACGTGGTGTCCGCCACGGCGACGGCTGTGGAGCTCTGCTGTATCAGAGAGCTCCGTGTGGCCACCAGAGTCCACGCCAGTCTGTGTGAGAGAGTAGAGATCATCAGAAGACTCTCTCCTCTGGCCAACTCAGACTACCCAGGTACGTATATGTGTACATACACGTGAGTACATTTTCGTAAGAGATGCAACTATCGTGAGTTTCGTAAAGCCGGTTGATTCCTCGAAATGTGGAGGTAAATAGTAGGAGTGGGAGAATCCGCATGCAATAGTGAAATTAAAGTCAGTGGTTTGAGTCATGCGAAATTTACTTACGAATTGGCTAACCAACTTGATGCTACTTGTAATCTGCGCACATGAATAATGTGTCTTCACATCCATGCCACATAATTATACATAAACTCGTTTCATACTGGCTTCATACATATCTATCTAAAAAGACTCCAACCAGATTGTAAATACTTGCTCGATGTGTGTAATGTCACCACAGCTACCTGGGGAACCTGGTGGAGCTGGTTCTGGCCCCTGACACCAGAAGAGGAGCTCCCCCAAGCAACAGTCTGCCCAACCTCACCCCGAGTCTCCTCCTCCAGCCCTTCCTCCCCGTCGTCTCCTTCCCGGCCTACTTCGAGACCCTCCACACCTTTGCCTCGTCCCTGGAGCTCCTCTCTCGCCAGGCTGGGCTCAACAGACACCAAGAGTCTAGCCTCAAGCCACTCGCCTCCCCCGTAAAACCGTCCCCTGCAGGCGACTTTGATCCCGGGATTGTATCCAAGATCATGGAGTCTGTGTTGGAGAATCTGAACTCGCTGGTTGCGTCCACCGCCCACGGGGAGGGATTTGTTCTCTTGCTTCTTCACCTCTACCCTCTCTTCCAGTACCCGCAGACCAGCTTCGAGATGGTCCAGACGCACCTCGACACTGTTGGCCGGCACATGAGCCACGCCCAGATGTACCGACTCTTTGCGAGCGTTCTGATCCACTTCTTTGACACACCACTCCAACCCTACCAGCAGGCGCACCTTCTGAGTCGCTCGACCGCTGATTTCATCATACGCCGCTTTAGCCTCTGCACGTTCCTCTCCAAGTTTCTCGAGTTCTTCCTCGAGGCAGTTTTGGAGCCAGACCGACTGTCTGGCAGGGGCGGGGCGGCCGGTACTCGGAAGAGCGTCTTCAGACTGAAAGAATCGGAGAGCATTCTGGGACTCCAAACGCAAGTATCGGAGGTTCTCCCGCAGTCTCCGCTGTACGACGAGCAGAAGAGGCAGTCTCACGCGTCGGACTTCACGTTTAGCGTGGACCTGTCGGAGGCCGGGGGAGGGGCGGGGTATCAGTCCGAGGGCGAGACGAGCAGTGGGGGAGACTCCGAGGGAGAACTCCACCCCGAGGCCTCTCTCCTTGCCAGGAGCGGAGTGGTTCTGGGGTCGGTTGGGCCGAACATGTACGACATTCACGAGGAGGAAGACGAGGAGGGAGACAATAAGGGGGAGAGGATTGAGGGGCCTCGGGAGAGAGGGGAGGGGAGTCTGAGGATGATGCTTCTTCCGCAACTCTCGCTCGGCGGACAAGATGCCCACGACGGGACGGAACAGAGGAGACCCCAGAGAAACAGCAGGACAACGAGAGAAGTCAGTACGGGGGACGCGGACGCCGACAGAGAGCAAGAGTCCTCCCAGAGCACTGAGAGGATTCCGAAATCTTCGTCCACGAGTCTCCTCACGGCCTCACTGGAGAGCCCCGTGGCCACATCGGGGAACACTTCGACTCTGAACGGAGGAGAGTTGCCGACTCTGGAGGACTCCGTACGTACCCTCAGTACAGACTCTCACAGTGACCCGCTCACCTCTCGCTCTGCTGCTACCGCCGCGAGATCAGATGGCGTAATGACGAAATCTGCTGGCGGGAGAGATGGTGTCGAATTTCAGGTGGGATTAGAGCGAGGGGAAGAGGGGGAAGAGAGATTGAAGGGTGGGTTTGAAGAAGGAGAGGGAGAGAGGGAAGGGACCGTGCCCAGGGAGGCGGAGGATGAGGAAGAATCGAGCGAGAAGAAGACAAGCGAACTGAGAAACGATCCTGAAACGACGGCCATCAACCAGAGAATAGCGGAAGTGGCGGGGGACACCCTCTGCTGGCTGATGAGACGACTCGGGCCCCTCCTGGCTACCTGCCACATCGTATCTCCGTTACTGAACGGGATTCACCGCTGTTTCACTGGGGTCGTAGGTCGACCACCCAGACATGGACCAGTGCTGGGGTGCCTCGCATACATGGCTGAGTTGTATGGGGAGAAAGTTCTCGTCAAGCTATACCTACCTCGAGTGGAAGGATGGGTAGGTTTTACTTTCTACACTCCGATGGAACTTTACTGCCTCACGAGTGGGCAAATAGATCCTATTTGTACTGCTTCGGTGTGTTAGCATTCAGCATGATGTAATGTTGTGTGTGTGTAGGTTCTCTCGGCGACCAATCGTATGTCGGTGAAGGCGGAGGCAAACCTGGCAGCGTCACTGGCTCTGGTCAAGCTCATAACCAGACATATCTCTGACCTGAAACTGGAGGAAGTCACCTCTGTACGTTTGTAATCACACCGCCACACAAACACTCTTTTCCATCTTTATTCACTCTTTCTCCATCTTTACTCTCTCGTTCTTTCAAACAAACCCCACCTTTTTTGTAAATTGCTGGCCATACTCAGTTCTTCATATGCACAATGGACACGACCGTATGCCAGCACTTGAGTTAAAGAATATGTGGCAGTAATAGGGATATTAATAGAGACTGTTACTGAAAAAGGACCATTTTTGCACTGGACCCTTCTATCTTACTAAATTTAGCCATTACGTACGTACTCCACAGTCCCTGTAACTTCCTTTGTTACTAAATTTAGCCATTACGTACGTACTTCCACATTCCCTGTAACTTCCTTTGTTACTAAATTTAGCCATTACGTACGTACTTCCACATTCCCTGTAACTTTGTTGCATTACTTTTGACATTGTTACCTCCCCTCCAGTCCCTCTGCGAGGCATTCTTCATCCCACTCATCCAGCTGCTCTCCTCCCAAACCGTCTTCCCCAGCGGCGGCGAGGCCCGGGCCACCGTCTGCCACTCTCTCGTCCTCCTCCTCCTCCACACCGGTCGTCGGCTCGGCAGAGAGAGATCTCTCCGTCTCCTCCTCGAGACACTCCGACTCTTCTTCACCTGTTTCGACGGAGTCTACGGCGCCGGGGGGTCGGAGGACCTTCGTACCAGCGCAGGGTCTCGGAGCCGCTCCGAATCGGCTGCAACGTCCATGACATCCAGTCACGGCAGTTTCTCCACTCAGTCGTCGGCTCCGGGGAAACTCCGTGGGGCAGCTGCTGGTGCGACGGGAGAGAGAGGGAGAGCGGTGACCAACTTTGTAGAGAGTGCACGACTCCCCGATTCTCGCAAGACAAACTTTGTCACCGCCAAGAAAAAGACGGTATCCCTGGAGGAACAAGACCCACCTGGAGGTTCTCGTGACGGGAAAGGCTTTGCCAGACCAAAGCCCCCCACGTCTTCTCCCAGCACGCAAGACATGGCGCTGGAACAACTGCAGGAGACGTTTACGCCGGCCATGGCGCACGCAACGTACATCCCCTTCTGCAAGCTCCTGGGGCAGATCAGCGTGAACATGGAGCTGCGAAACACGGAGCTCATCGAGCACATGGCGTACAGCTACGACGACCGCGCCCGGGAGGAGAACCGCCCGCTGCCGAGCGTGTTCCTGCCGTCGGGAGACAATCGCTCGAGCTCCGACTCGGGAAGCGAGGATTCCCTGACCGACGACACCGCGCGGACCGGGGAAGAGGATCTGGTTCGAGACGTGACTGTAAAGCTGGGGCCGGTTTTGGCCATGCAGCAGAAGAGGGGTCTTGGTGGTGACGCCGTGAGTTTTGGTCGTCCGAGTTGGTTCATCGATCTGCAGCAGGAGGTGGGGACTGGGGACATTGGTGGAGGATCCTCTCTCGGTCCCAGTGATGGTTCTGGGGTAGAACGGGGTAACGAGAGTCTGGTTGCTACGACCGGAGTAAGCAGCGGGGGAGGAGGTAATGGTGGAGTAAGTGTGTCCGGAGCGGGGGAGGGTGTTACTCGGAGTGTTGTGGTATCGGGAGGAGGGGAAGAGGGAGGGGGGAGGGGTGGATGGAGGGAGTGAGAGGCTCAGCAATGGCCACAGCGTCAGGGATACTTGGTCTCATCCAGAACCGTCCGACTCAAGAGATGCCTCACGGGCGAGGGGCAAAGGGCAACGATCTGACTCGTCACTCGATCAACTTTGACATGAAGTTCCAGTCAGTGCTGGCCTCTCAGCAACAGCAGCAGCTCAGCTCTCACAACTCCATTGATGGAGGGTGAGTCTGGGACACTGTAACGGATGCTTATTTGCATCCCGAGCCCTCCTTCTCCTCTCACGTGTTAACCTACGGTACTGTACTGCATTCACTATTCCCCCTAGTGTTGAAGAGACTGACTCTCATCTGACGGGACAATGGAGTGATCTCTGGGAATCAAGACTGCACCAGTGTACGTTCTCCTGTTCTCTCTTGTCTCACCTTTCTGTTCCCCCATTCCATGAGAGAAAAGAGGTCATCTTTGTACATGTGTCGCTGAATCGACCTTGACCAACACCCCGTGTGTACTCTTTCTAACTGTGACTTGACCTCTTTTGTTCCACAGCACCCCACCATTTGGAGAACTACACACATTTTATGGGCAAAAAGTTGCAGATATACACAGGTACACGGTATAAAGGTCAAATTTTTTTATGCTCACAAAATAAATGAGGAGTAGAGAGAAGAAAAAAGGAGTAGAGAGAAAAAATAGATGGAAAATGATCAAAAAACACAATAAGAACGAAAACGCAAAACAAAAGAGAACAAAAACAAAAGACAAATTAAGCTGCAGCAAGGGGCGACTGATAGTAAAGTGTGTGCAAGAGAGAGAAGGAGAGTAAAAAGAAAAACTCGCAGAGAGGGTGACGTGTGTCATTCTCCAGGTCACAAGGGGGCAGTCCGCAGTCTCGCAGTCTCCGACTCGGAACACTTCTTCCTCAGTGCCAGCAAGGACAGGACCGTCAAACTCTGGTTGCTAAGGAACCAGGGCGGAGGCTCCACCCCCCAGATCTCCGCCCACCTCACTTACTCCCAGCACCAGAAGCCGGTGTCCCAAGTGGAGCTGGTCCCCACCACAGGAGACATTCTCTCCTGTGATGGAGCTGTTCATGTGAGTCTGGAAAATTTGTTCAATTTTATCGGTTAGCCTATAGAAATTTTACAATCATATTTTGTTAAAGTGAGCAGTTCAAAATTGAGCAGCAAGCTGAGCTACTTCTTCAGCCTGTCTCAGTTTGAATAATCATTGTCTTCTCCCTCTGCTCCGTCCCTGTAGTTGTGGGATCCAGAATTTGGCCACACCATCCACCAGTACTCCTCACCCCGAGGTCGAGAGTTCGTCGCCATGACGACCTTTTTACCCCCACAACAGGTTGCCATCGTTGCAACCAACGACCCTGCCATCAGGTACGCACCATTAACTTACGTGTATAAGTCTACAATCGAAATATTTATATCACAAAAGCAAAATATTGCTAATCTACTTGCGTTCATAAATTATCTGTGGTTGTTGTAGATTCATTGACTTCAGGACTGACACAATTCAGCACATGTGGAAAATCCACCCCTCATTTGGAAGTAAGATTAGTCATAGAGATGGGAGTAAGGCTAGGTTGACAATGTCACATTGCCCTGTCGCACCGTGCTGCGCTGCCGCATGCGAGGATATCTATCTTTTGCGGCAGGATGCAACGCAGCACGGCGCAACGGGGCAATACGAACCCAGCCTAAGAGTGAGAAAAGAGGGAGGAGAGAGGGATGAAGATGTAGAGACAACTGGGGTGTACCATAGGGAGGGAGAGAGAAGAGAGATACGTGTCCCCTCTCTTATATACCTGGGTAAAGTGTTGTTCATGTGGAGGCAAGTGGCAGAGGGGCAGAGAGGGGGTGATATATTGTGTCTCTGCAGGTCTGGTGAAGTGTTTGTGCTGTGGAGACAACTGGGTGGCAGTGGGCAGTACGGGAGGAACAGTCAGTACTCTGGACCTGAGGATGGGTGCTCTCCTTCACCAGTGGAGGCCCAGTGAATTCAACCTCGTCCCGGTATGTATATATATACTACAGTAATGTCCTTCACTGTACAGCTGCCCTACTGGATATGGGAGTGGATTTTCGTATATCTTGATGCATGAATATTAGACCCTCCCAAAATCTCACCATCTTTTTCAACTGTTATTTGTCTGGTCCCATTCCTAGACCACGACATGGAATGAGAACCTGTTCCAGCTGCTGTCCACTCGCCATGGTAACCTGGTCACCAGTGTCGGGGCTGGCACCATGCACCTCTGGAGACCCTCCACCGGGAAACTCCTCTCCCACATCAGAGGTGGGCGGGGCTTAACCCTTAATTAGTGGGCGGGGCTTAATTAACCTCTCATTTAGTGGGTGTGACTTAACCCTTGTGTTTTACAAAACCCCTCATTGGTGGGTGTGTCTTCACTCCAGGCCTCAGATTATACAATTATAAGTCCCCCTCTGGAGGTCCAGTACTGAGCAGCCATTGTTTCTGGTGACAGTTACATCACTTTCACATTTTTACTTTCAATATTGGATCAGGTCAGTCGTCAACCACCCCATGCTGGACTACATGGGTCAGCAGTTGATATCCGCCTCCTCCAATGGTCAAGTGGTCGTCCACAACTCCTTCGAAAGAACTGTAAATCCAACTGCTACTTTAATCCTCTCTCCTCCTATTAATAGTAACAGTAGAAGTCTTTGAAGTAGTGTCGAAGTAATTTCACACTGCTTCGTAATCCTCAAATTTGTGAACCATTAGTATAATGTACCCCTAACCTACACTCTTATTTTGAGTCTTGCTGTTAACTTTTTTGCATCTCAACCCACTTTCTTTACCCCTCGTACAAAACAGAAAGATCCAAGTTCGACACTGTTCTGGGTGACAAAGGTCAGGAGCAAGGAGCTGAAAGGGGGTGTAGTCTCCATTGCAACTCTACAGGAGAAGAGACTGCTGTTGCTAGGCAGCGAGAACGGACAAGTTGTCCTCATGTCATGACTATTATTTTTCCTTTCACTGAGAAATTATACTGTTCCTGTATGTGTCATGTGTCTATTTCTGACAAAATTGAGCAAAAATGTTAGAGTATGAAAAATTTTGTGACCACCCCAACCTTCAACTACATCAGTCATTAGGTGAAGATACAGCGTGATGGCTTGCTCTATAATACAAGGGGCTTGTTGGACTATAACACAACACACACACACAATACACTATTACACTGCACCATGTGACACCGGTAGGGGTCATAATGGTACTGAGATCTCATGAGTGATTTTTGCAGTCCATTTGGGTAGAGAGGGAGTGTGTGTGTATGTTATGCGGACTGTATGCAGAAGACTGTCACACTACATCTGAGACCAGACAATGCCCATGAGGTTCCTGTTCTGTTCCATCTCCTGGGTGATCCGTTCCGGTACCTGGTGTTGGAACCAGACCGTGTCCAGCTGCTGCACACTCTCCTCGCTCAGTAGCAGAGGAGAGCCTCTCCTGAGTGGGAGGAGAGGGAGGGGGAGAGTGGGAGCAGAAAAAGGGAAAAGAGAACATCAACAACAGCATACATACGTACCTTGAATACGTACCTTCAGCAACCCCTCAGTCAAAAATTTAATAATTTATGTGCAGAGCAAGAAAATGGTATATACTTTAGTGTTTGCACAAATGTCGAGTTTGCAGAATTATCTCATTGCGCCCTACGTATGGCAGTATAAGCACAAGAGGGAGATTAAGGAAAATGCAAGAGAGTAGGTAAAAGACTGAAGGAGAGTAGGAAAAGGGTAGTGATTGACTCAGACCTAAGTCCAGGGTCAGACTCTCCATATTGGTCCAGGTAAGGTGGGGTGAGGGTGCAACCTTTGACATGGCGGATGTTGGTGGCGTCTAGTAACACCACGTAGACCTCCAGGATCCACAGGGCCATTCCCACACCATCTCCACATCTGGGGAGAGACGTGTACATCAACGACAGACTGTACTGCTAACTTCCCAATACAAACACTACTGGTCATTGCTGTCTTTCAACAGCACAAAACAGTTCTCTGGAGAGGTATTGAGTAATTGCAAATGCAGCTGCATAATTTTGTACAGGGACCTTGAAAGGGGTCTATTTACTGTGAAATAAAACAGCATTATATCTATGAAATGATATTCATAGGTGGTCTATTGGTTGTGACGTACGTCTGAGCGTGTCTGGTTAACCCTCCAATTCTGAGTCGTTTGTGACCGGGCTGGTTATCTTCCTCCTCCTCCTCGTCCTCCACGTCAGTCATACAGCAGTAGGAATTGGTGCAGAGCATCTGGCCGCACAGGAGACACAACATGGCCGCCTGTCCATCGTCACCGTCCACCACGTGATTAGCACACCTGATTGCAGGGGAGGAGGAGGGAGGGAGGGGGGAAGAAAGGTGAAAGTTTGTGAGCGAGATACAGGAAAGAGGAAAGGTGGGAGGGAGATTGGGGAAAAGACAAAATGTGCTCACTTGAATTTGGAAGCTTTGTTAACGAGATCGGAATAGCTGCGAGGGAGAGAGATGAGCTGCCTCGGTTGCCGGAGGATGGGAGGGAGCGACGCCACAGCGCCAGCGCCCAGTTCTCTGAGACGACTGTGTGAGCTCCAGGACCCCGCCAGTCTGCGGAGGGAGTAGCCGGGGGAGGAGGAGGAGTCTGGTTTGTCCAGGAGGGTGTGGAGGGAGTGGGGGATGTTGAGGAACATGCACATGTCTGAGAATACCTGGCCATCTACAGGAGGGAGATCTTGCATTAAAGGATTCTTATTGAGCATAAATTGTATGAGCAAGATAAGTACGCAGTCACACGCGTACTTAGTGTCACTAAATCCCTTAGTAACTCACATCGTGTTTACTAAGTGCCTGTGGCACCGTTTCCCGTGCAACCCGATGTGCATCAATTGGAGTACGTCCACACTAGTATCTCGTCTGTTGAAATCTATGTGCGTTAGAAGGCCCTCGGGCCATTCGTGTAGCATTTTCGCTGCACTCGGAACGCTACAACGCAAGGGTCCTCGGGCTTATAACACAGGCAGATTTCACGGACTCGATGTCTAACTATTACTAAATTACTTGCACTGGCTGACTCTATATAAGGACTGCACAAGGAACACATGAGTATCGGTACCATCAGAAGGAGGTGTGAAGTGTATCCCAGTGAGGCTCTGGAAGAAGAGGACGGAGCACTGCAGGAAGGAGTGAAGGTATTCCCTCGCCCCGGTCTCTAGTGTTGCCGCCTCCGGGGGACAGTCGTGGGGGAGACTGAGGGAAGACAGAGAGAGGGAGAGAGAGCCGAGAGAGGGAGAAGGGGGAACAAGTGATAATATAGTCAGCAAGTGTAAAAGTGTGTTCATCAAGGCTTTCAAACACTGGATGCCGCAAAGCTTCACCCAGAGCAATGGCAAGCAGGGGTGACCCAACTGACAAAGGGAGTTTGTCAACGTATACAATATTTATACCTGGCCTTTTTTCTGAAGGTGACCCACATCTTCTGCAGTTGTGCTCCTTCTTCTGAGGCACTACTCCCTCCAGTGGAGTCTGCACACAACATAGAGTTACGGTTTACCCGCTATTTACATCACACCATCTCACTACTTTGCATACACCATAAACTGATTGGTCAGTCTTCACATTCAGGACAGAGGCAATAAACTGATTGGTCAGTCTTCACATTCAGGACAGAGGCAATAAACTGATTGGTCAGTCTTCACATTCAGGACAGAGGCAATAAACTGATTGGTCAGTCTTCACATTCAGGACAGAGGCAATACAACTGATTGGTCAGTCTTCACTTCACATTCAGGACAGAGGCGATACACTGATTGGTTGGTGGGTGGGGGGGGTGGGGGGGGGGGGGGGGGGGGGGGGTGGGTGGGGGGGGGGTGTGGGGGTGGGGGGGGTGGGGTGTGGGTGGGGTTGGGTGTGGGTGGGGGGGTGGGGTGGTGGGGGGGGGGGTGTGGGTGGGGGGGTTTTTTGGGGGTTGTTGTTTTTTTTGGGGGTTGTTGGTGTTTAACAATCAAGTTACGAGGCGATACACTGAATAGACTCACGGTCAGTATCCATTCCGGAGGAGGAGGTGAGGAGGAACTGGAGCAGTCTGGCAGTGGCTGCAGTCCTGACTGACTGGAGAGCAGTCAGGGTCCGATCGAGCTGTTAGTACGGGCTCTCCTAGAAGTCAACGCTCGATTAGACACAAGAATCCAGCAGAGAGACACCGGGAATTGAGGTACACCTTACAGAGAGAGAGTGGGGAGAGTGGGATGTAGAGAAGAGATGTGGTGGGGGGGAGCGTTTGGGTAAAGGGTGAAGGCAGGCAAACTCACCATCATGGATGAAGGCATCATCTCAGAATGGATGGGTTTCTGAGAATGGAGGCTTCCAGGAGAATGCTGTGAGGGTTGATATTGAGAAGGGGAGTTCCAGAGAAAAGATGGGGAAATAAAATACTGACATGTCTTGTATCATGAAAATTTAATTTTCACGATAGGAGTAATTTTTATTGGAGCTTTTTATTGTTTTAAAAAGAGTTCCTGATTAGGAGTCATCAAAAAGTTTTTTTGGTCCGAATCGTAATTATTTTTGATACAAGGAGAGAGAAGAGAGAGAGGGAGGAGGTGAAGCTTACATTTGACTAATCTCCTGCGATGCTGCCCAGCTGGTTGATAGAAGGTCTAGTTCATGATCCAGTCCTATCTTCACCATGATACCCTGGTAGTCCACCTACACAGTCACAGGTCATGTGACAATCATTCCATAGTCATGTGACACCAAAGACACTAGCACAATGGTGCCACCTCATCCCTGGTACACACCACACAGTTTATGTGCAAGCTACTCTCATTTCATCCATGTACAACTTCTATTTAGATTGTTTAATTATGTCCGTGACGTGAAGACAGAGTTGATATAGAGCTGCCCTTGTCGTCTGGTGTCATTTTTACAGAGCACAGACACTACAGTAAACAGGACAACTCTGAGTTTGCTTTACACTGCACTACATGTGTTAGTTTAGTTTAACAAGTGTACATGTGTTATGTATGGGTGTGGTGGTGTGTTGGGTTGTGTTTTGGTTTTGGGGTGTGTGTTTGTGGGTGTTTTTTTTTGGTGTATGTATGTTCGCACTGGCTAGTTATGTTTTCCTACAGTTTTTCCACTGTTGCTTCCACACACACTCTCTTGCTGTTTTCCCTCGTCTTTTTGTTCGCCTTGACGCCTCTGCTACAGTGTTAACACGTACACAACATACATACACAACTGATCTTTGTGTTAATCTATTGCAACCATGATAAAACCCCAATATTATGTGAAGTAAGTGCACACGCACGCACGCACGACGCACGCAGCTGGACAATTAAAGATCACTTCAAATTTTCAATGTGTAATAGCATTACATCATTGTATATGTACATGTACTGTTGGTAGAAGGCTGACCATGTATGTGCAGCTGAGAGAAGATGAATCTATCCTTCTCGTCACTGGGCCTGTAGTGAGAATGGAGCACAGCAGGTGTGTTAGGTCTTATGGATTGGTTTTCACATTTATTGCAGAGTGCAGGCGAGAGCATGTCTAAACCAGAACGGCTTTCATGTAGTGATGCAAGCTTTTATTCTCAAAATGTTTTAATTACTCATGTACCTTCCATTAGATAGTCTGTGGTCTCTTGATGTTCCTAAACACTCAGACAGTTTGTCCAGGCAAGTGATGCTTGGTTTCCTTCTGAGGATGGAAACAGCCAGCATTTGGCATGTACACAACACCTGGCAATTTTTAATTTTCTAGTCCATGCCTCGTTTTTAAGGCTTTCTTCCACTAGGAGAGAAGGCCTGATACAGACTTCGTGCATGTGCCGCCGAACGAGGCTACAATTCTGCAGAGATATTGTCTCTACGCTTTAGCAGAAACACCTACATACAGCCTATGTACTATTCGCAAACATCCATAGTTAGCTCTTATGAAAACATGAAGCTCCAGTTATAAGTTCTAGAATCTTAGGGATCAACAATGCATCCTATCCTCACCTTCTAGAACATTCTTTGACTGGCGAGGTCCACAGCGAGGTCGACGATTTC